TTTTTTTGCATACGCTATGCAAAGCAGGCAGTAGGTGGGTGGATGGCAGTTCCCTTTTGTGGCAGCAAATCAAACTGGAAGTGTTCTGCTCACAAGAAGCGTTGTTACTAGAGTTACTTGTTCTTTGTCATGGAGGGATTTGTCTTCAGTGGCACTCTGGGTAGATTTGAAAGAAATGATGACAATCCGGTTTTGCCTCAGCCGTTTTGGCACCTGCTGTGAACCCCACGTTACTGTAAAAATCGTTTCTTATTGTCTTCAGGGTACGAAATCCTGAGGAACTACTAAAGAGCAGAAGCTGAATTGATGGTGCTTTCACCCCAGGGGCAGATACTTTCTCAATGATTTGAACACATTCATCATTGTTGCCTTTACAACTGGATGAATGGCTGAGATCCAATGACTGCATCTGGAGGCCGTCTGCAAGATCTTATTCCATTCCAGTTGTGCATGTGCACTTTGAAGTGATGTAAATTTTTTTGTAAGTCTGACATAGATCATATCTGGCATAAATGAGACTTACTTTCATACTTGTTTGTAAAGTTTACCTGATCATATTTTATTATCCTTGATTAATCTTCCTATTATTTCCATTATTAATTTATTGGTTTATAAAATGTTATAAAATAGTGATAATTGCTCGTCACAATTTCCGATTTAAAATGACTGATTTTGACTGACCAACTGTCCAAAACAGTTCAGTTCAGTTTCAGTTTGCTATCTTAGAAGAAGATCAAATATAGAGCAAATATAATCGATTAATTGACTAAATGTTTTACAGCTTTCAATTATAGTAATTAGTTATAGGTAGGTTATGAAGTGCACTTGAATCTCAGTACTTTGCTGTTTATTGCAGGTCACGTATTGTAACAATGTTGTATCTAATGTGTGTGAAATATCAAAAAACAAAACATAAGCTGCCAACATGTAGAGTTCTATCTGATCTGATGCTTTGTGTACTTGTGCGTTGTAAGAAAGCCGGCTGCGCCCACTGAATGTGGGAAGAGTATCAAAGCTTTAGTGTTATGTAAGGAGAGCTTCCAGGAAGCTGAAAGTCAGGATGGAAGGGTCTTCTTTCCCTATACACTGTCTGTCTTTTTATCTGTCTTCTCCTCGCACTTCTGAAAGCGTAGTGTCCATCTCTATTTATATCATTGATGTGGGCCGTGAGAGCCACCTGCAAGAGTGGAGCACAGATCAATTTGAATGCCCAGAACAACTGAAAAGAGTTAGGAAACTAATTAATCGTCGTTTACTGCTCCTGAGACAGACTGGGATCTGCCCACTCATTGTCATGCCTCCACACCGCCAACAGCCAGGGCCAGAGGCATTATGTGTTGGTGTTGTCGGTCCGTCCATACGTCTGTTGTGAACGCGATATTTCAGTTCTGGCTAGAGGGAATTTCTTCAAGTTCAAGGTACAAATGTCCATTTGGACTTGGGGATGAACTGATTATAATTTGGTGGTCAAAGGTCAAGGTCACTGTGACCTCAAGATATGTTTTTGGCCACAACTATATTATTATAATATTATGACACAATATATCATTTTTCCTATCAGACATGTTAAAGTGATAATATTTTATATCCAAAGGTCAAAGGTAAACTTCACTGTGACATCATAATATTCTGCAAAAGCTCTTTTGGTCATTATTAAATGCTGTAACTCAGGAAGGGGAGATTGTGACCATATTTCCTGCAACTTGGTTGTTTGGCAGAGGCATACAACTGCAAGACAGTAATTCTAGTTAAACATTGATTTAGTCTGTTAAAGGATCACATGGTTGCCAGCACCGTGAAATACAGATGGAGGATTGGTGGTTGTATAGTTGAAATAAAGATCTATGTGATTCTGTGTGAGGTGTCAGGCAGGGCAGAAAGTTACATTAGACAGGTGTTTTCCTTAACACACACACACACACACACACACACACACACACACACACACACACACACACCCTGCCCTTCCCTGGACAGGGCTTCAACGCCCCAGGCACTCGGTGTCTCAGGGTAATGTCAGTGACATTACCAATGAATGCTGAGTATTATGTTCTGGTACGATTGTGTGTTTGTTTGTATACACAGGAAGCCATTGCACAGTGAAGTTGGTTTTGGCTCAGGATGTAAACTGGGTGCAATCTTTATTAACTGTAGTTACTCAGCAGTGTTCCCTGCAGCTGTGTATTGTAACCCAAAGGTTTTTTCTTAAGATTTTGTTTTGTAGCACTCTCATTGTCAGCTGGACTCACTGGATATTTTACACTTTTCACTTGACACTCACTTGGAAACTTTAACAGTGTTTTTATAGCATCTAAACCTGCTTTGTAAAAGACATGGGAATCTCACTTTCTACGTGAGACCTTTAACTGCTTTTTGACTCATTTGGCTATTTTATAATATTTGAATTTCAAATAAGTTGAGCAATGTGATGTGATGGAAAATTGATTGTCCTGTTGATATCTGGCCCACCTGTGTTTAGCAACACTGCTTTGTTTTCTCACTCGTTTGCTCAGACTTTGTCCTCAAGGGTCCCCATGTTTTCTCCTGCAGGGAGTGGCAGTGACTTCACTTCACGTTAAACGCCCTCTGGTTCTGCTGTGAACTGGCAGTGTGTTCCTCTCAGTACATATCAAGATGCATCGTCTACAGTTTGCTACCTTTGTAACAGTTGCCTTAAATCTCGCATTTTACTTAATAGTTTAATTGTACATAAATTAAAATTTGATGTTTATCTGTGAGTAAAGCAGCATGAGTCGGCATTACTTTCGTTACACTGCTCCTGCAGGTAGCGCTAATGTCAGTGTCATTTACTGCCTCCTAGTTTGGTGGCGACATAGATATATCGTATGGTAACGCTGCATGTTTACAGTCCTTCTGGATGAGATTTTCTTTTTTTTCAGGGACTGACTGTTAGCTCCAAGATATGTGACTGAGAACCCTCTGGAGAAGAGTGTGTCACACACAGACACCAATACATATACACACACCCAAGCACAGAGCAAGAGTTTCATAGTAAATGGAACTGCAAAATCTTTTTGATTTTATAGGTTTGTAGATCAACGGAAAATTGTCAACTATTTTGATTATCAAATAATTGTTTTTGTCATTTGTTCACCAAAAAGGTCGAACATTTGCTGAGCACAGCTTTTGAAATGTAAAGATTCAATGCTATTTTTTTTTTTTTTTTTTTTTTTTTTTTTGTCATACATGAGCACAGTCAGATAAAAGACAGTCAAGACATCACCTTGGACTGTGGGAACTTTTCTAGGCATTTCCATTATTTTTTGACATTTTATGGGCCGAACAAGTTATTGATTACGGTAATCAAGAAAATGATTGGCAAATGAATCAATTATGATAATTGTTGGTTGCCATTTCAATTTTTAAAGCAATGAAGCCATATCACTGTTGACTGTTGTATTGGTTTTCCAGTACGCAGTGATTAATCTTGCAACTCCAAGGTATTAGTTTTATTTTTGGGGGACAGACAGACATCAGTAAAGGGTTGTGTTAAACTGTTAAGGTGATGATAATCTATTAGCTTTGAAATAAATAGAGGTATTGTGATTGTAGCTTAAACAGCAGATATTCTACATAAATACACATGATAAGAAGGGCTGGTACGTTTCCATTCACACTCCTCGCGGAGCAGTAGACGCTACCTCTGCTCGTCAGACCCACAGGATGCAGAGGGAAAGGTGCTGCCCTGGTCATGGTTTCAGAGAAGTGCCAGTTGGAGCAGGAGGCAGAGCAAGGACAAAAGCACATAATTGGCTCTCGGTGGGAGTGTGTAATCCTCAGGGTTTAGAGCCGGAGGGAGGGCCAGAGAGCAACATGCACAGTACGTGTACACATGGACACATGCATGTACATACTGCTGCCCGTGCTCAATCTAGAGTTTGTCCTTTGTGCAAGACTCTGCCTTGATGTACTACTGACAAGGGACTCTGTGCTTGTGCCTTAAACCAAACAACTCTTGTTTAAACAAGGATGTTCCCCGCTTTCCACAACAGGAAGTTTGTTCTCTGTCCTCCAGTGACAGATAAAGTGCTCTGCCCCTCCCCTTCATCCACCCTCCCCTGCATGTCTAGAGTTATTCTGCTTGACCTAGTTGAACGACAAGCTGACATGCGTACACAGCCTGCAAAGAAAGTGCAGCATGGTCAGGTCATTTCAGTTCAGTTTGTCATATGATAAGTCATCACACATCACCAATATTGTAACCTGGGAGTGAACACAACTGAATAAGAAAAAAAGAGATTGACTTTGCAAACTTTTACCTGCTTGTCCACAGCAGGGAAAGGAGGCAGAATATGTCTTTTTTTACATCAACAGAGCAGGACATTAGAAATATTTTCTATAACAGCTCCAATGTATTTCACAGTTGCTGCCCTGTCGCCTGTTAGTCATGTTGGCCCGCTCTGCCAGGTGGGTGTGGCCCTGTGAGTCACAGCTGCACAACGCATGGCAAAGTCAAAATTTACAACAGTCATGGTGTGTTTCCACTTACGGTTGGCTTTGGATTGCAGTGAGTGGAGTAGGTTCTTTTTTTCTTTCAGCCTTGCATGCTTTGGGGTGTTTATGTGACTCGTTTTTCCAATTTGACTGTCAGAGACACAGTGTACTTTTTTTTTTTTTTATTGTTTTCTCCCTTCCTTGTTACTGACTCACTTCCTGTCAGGCCCACTGCTAGTCCGCTCCTGTGTTTTGTTTGTTTTTATTTAAAAAAAAAAAAAAAAAAAAAAACACACACACACATCAGAAAAAGTACAGGATATCCCCATTCAGTATTGATTTGAGGTTGAAATTCGCTTGAGGCCTGTTTGTTGTCTCAAAATGGATTTCCGTGCAGCAGACATTAAAAACTTACCCCACCCAGTGATTAACTATGTTGCAATGCCTCCTCTTATCAAACTTTTTTTTTTTCTCTTCATCTTCTATCCCTCACTTTCTACCTTTCCTGCTCTTTCTACTCCATTACTCCCTCCTGTATCTCTCAGCTCCAGCTACTCCACAGCGGCGTTAGAGTTTGAGAAGGAGCACCAGATTGCTCCTGTGTACGAATCGCCCAGGATGTCACGGCGGAGCCTGCGTCTGCAGACCAGTGCCGGTCACTATGGCAACGAGAGCCTGGCTGATTACTCCCAGAACCACAGCAACAGCAGCGGCTACACCAGCACCAGGCGAGAGACACGGTGAGACATGCAATGGGTACTAACGCACTCGGCTGGCCAGAGAGTATCAGTAAATGTCTGCATTCTTATTTATTTGCGTCTCTTTGAACTTGAGTCTAAACATCATTCTACTCGTCTCAACCCGCCTCTGTCACACAACGAAACTCACATCTCTATTCGTGTGCCGTCTCTGCTCTCCCAGGACACTGCGGAGCAGAAAGCAGCCATCCAGCTCACTGTCTTTATCCCTGAGCCAAGTCGCCACTCCAAGGAAAACCCTCTCCTTCTCAGCTGTTAATACTCCGATTAACAATAGCAGCAGCGTTCAGGAAAGCAACACAGTGTCTGATGGCTCCCTGCACAGCTCCATCCTGGACCAGACCCAACTGAGACAACGCACCATCACTACAACCACCACCACCACTTCCATGTCTGTGGATGGACACTGGGGTCAGTGGAATAATATAGATTCCATCTCAAATGACCCATTAATGATTTTGCAAAATGCTGATGTTATTTGAGCATCTTTGAGCATTGACTTGATGGGATTGAGAGAAACATAAGCTGCATATCCTGCCTGTTTTAGCTGACTCATATGTTACTGTAAAGTGTTATGTAGTGAATAAACTATTCTGTTATTCTTGGTTATTATTGAATTATTTTAAGGGTCTCAGTTCCCCTACATTTCTGAGGGATGTTTTGTATTTTTTGATTTAGCAGCTGTAGTTACTAGTTACTTTTGCAGATGATTTTAAAACCTATAACGATGATATAGTGCATTGTTGTACAGTAAATGAAACCACCAAACAACACATAAAATAGCTCTACCAGCTTACATGTTACTGCATCAATAAAAATCTAGTAGTACATAATGCAACACTGAAAGCCCATTTTGGCTTTATAGTGAGTAATTATACAGTGGGACCCAAAAGTCTGACTATACTTTATACTTGTTCTTTAGATATTAGAACATTTTTCCAACAATATTTGCAAACTTTTGCTGAAGTAAGATTATCACTTAGTCTTTGTTCGTAATAGTAACAATGGTACAATTTAAAAAAAAAAAAAAAAAAAAAAAAAAAAAACACTTTTACCTAAGTAAAAGATCTTGATACTTATTCCACCACTGTAGATAATGTCTGCTGCTCATTGTAACTCCAGCAGAGTATTCCAAGCAAAGCAATAGCATAGTTAGTAATATCTTTGCATTCATTTTCTATGCATTTAACCACTTCCTTGTGTTTTGATGAATGGCTCTTATTTATCTGTGTACATGCTGTTCTCCCTCAGGGAGGAGCTCCACCGCTGACCACAGTTCATCAAATGTCAACGGTGACGCCAGTGTGTCAAAGTCCCACACCTCGCTCGCCAATGGTTACATCTGCAAAGACTGCTCTTTACACTCTCAGGAGATGGACTCATTTATTACACGGTCTTCATCATCAACATCATCATCATCTCAGGCTGCAGAAGCGTCCACTGGTGCCCTCTCCTCATCATCTTCACCTTTCACAAGTATATACTCCAGAGACAGGAGTCAGAGGAACAAGACAGGTGAGAAGCGTGAAGTTGGACTGAAATGTCATACTGGAATTGCAGACTGTTGTTCTTTTTAACGTTTGTCCTTCTGTATGCTAAAATTATGGGAACTCAATGATTGAAAACCAGTATGTCCATATCTTACTCCAGCTGTGATAATGAGAATATAATTAGTAGTGGTCTCTCTCCAGGTGTCCTGGTGTCTATGTCTAACACGTGTATACGCTACAGCAAACGAGCCCTGGCCCCCATAGTGTCCTTAGTCACCCTGGTCTTCAACAATGTGCTCTGGCTGGGTTCAAGGGCCAAGAGCCCTCCAGGAAAAGGTATACAACAAGAGATGTTCTTTGCTTGTCATCCAATACCTGTCATTCTCCCAGATTTCAGACTCATCTCTTTTTTTTCCAGCTATTTGTAAATCTTCAGCAGGCTTCTCATCATCATTCTTAATGTTTCTGCTTGGGTCTATTTCTATTTCACATGTAACCTTATTACCTTTTCTCTTATTGGGCTTTCCATGGCTTCCTGTCGTTTTTCTCTCAGGGTCTCTTCAGGAGATTTTAGGAGGATTTTTCTGTCATCCACTTCACTTTCCCCTCATCCTATCCCCAATTTTTATTTGTACTTCTTTGTGCCATGCCTCAAGTGTGCGTTTTGACTAACAGTATGTGTGGACGGCTGTGTCACCAGGTGTTGTTGCTTCGATGTCGGACTCGATGAGACAAGCGGTGTCCTCCAGTTTGTCCCAACTGTGGCTGTTAAAGCAGACCACTCTCCACAGGATGATGGGCCACAGGGCTAATGGCTATGAAGGAGAAGGTACCAGGCGTTTCTTCAAAGGGCAAAGATCACGGGTCACAGCTCCTGACCTCCTCTCCTGCTCTTCTATTAATAAACTTTGTTGTTACCATTTTCTCTCCTCCTTGAGCACTTACTTTTTTGTTTAAGGAGGCACGAGTCTGACATTGGGATAAATATGTAGGCTTTCTTTTAAAGAGGAACTGACTGTGAAGGGTCACTTCATCTCTCTGTTTCTCTCTGTCCATCTAGCCTTTACTTTCACACAAAGCTTTCTATTCCTGAAGGAGGAAGTGTACTAGAGATGAAATAAAAACTGCACCGCCCAAAACACCATTTCCTGAAATTGGACAAAACTGTCAGATGATAAGTTGCATTTTGGTACAAGTCCTTGAGCTCTTATGAGGTTGTGAAGAGGAACTGTGCACGTAAATGACACCTCAAACAGAACTAGAAAGATTACTCAGATGTGGTGTACACTGGGTAAACAAAAGTCAAGTTTTGGCTAATATGCACCTATTTCCATGTCCCACAGTGTTTGACAGCAGGTCAGTTTTATTTCTAGTACACTGCTGATTTCAGCTGGTTCCTTTCACAGCTGCAGAAGAATTGTATCAACTCTGTAGCATGAGGTTTCACTGCAGTTCTTTATTCTTGTTTCTAGCAGTTGTGTGTTTATCCTGTCAAGTGTTTTCATTCTCCTGTATTCTCATTTTCTTCATGAAGAAACAGTTGTGCCGTTACTCTCCTCTTTTATCCATCACTCATTTTATCATAACCTTTCACACGCAACATGTTTTTGTTATGTAAATAAATGTATTGTATGTATGTTGCAGCTCATTCAAGTTTCTGTGGGAGCATGAATGTGAAGGATCTGGTGACTGAAGATACATCACATCTTAATCTCAATGGTTCCCTGTGTAAGCAGACGCACACACAAGCCACACACATGTTCTCTCTTTCTCTCTGTACTTGTGTTCTTGTTGTAGCCGTGATTGACAGAGTTAATAATATGCGTGACCCGTGTGAGGAGAAGCGAGCAGAGGTTGTGTGAACTGCTTTGACTAGTCAGCAGCATGTTGACCGTCGTGACCTGTAAATGATTTTCTTTCGCTCAAGTTTGTCGCCAGTTTAGCACCAAGACTTAAACTACTGGGGAATTATTCCAGACCTGAAGAACTGCTTGCTTTTAGTCTGTTGTAGTTTTTTGCAGTTGCTGTACAAACAAAATAAAAACGGATAATAGAAATGACACAGCTATGACAGAAGAAGTCAAGTAACTTTTACAGTGGACCCAAATTAATAATAAATATATATATATATATATATAATGGATATATATATAATATATAATGGAAATGAAATAAAGGGAAAAATAACACACAATATGAACAGAGCAATGCAGCTCCAGTCAGCTGACAATAAAGTCTGACAATAGAGTTCACTTTTTCCCACTCTGAACAAAGCCAGTGTCACATTTGAATAATGAGGCCAGAAACTGAGCAGTTAAAGTGCAGAGGAAAAAACAAGAAAGGCATTTGTCAGTCAGTAGAGACAGCTGTGGAATGACAACAGGGATGAGGGCTTTTCATCAAGCTTTGCATGGTGTGCCATCACACATATTGCAAAATGGTGCAATGTGCGTGCAAGTGGCCCGCTTGTGTTTTTTCTTTTTTCATTGCACACATATAATTTGTTGTATTGGTTTGGAGTCATTTCAGTTTACTCTCTTTTGATCATTTGTAGAATTTTGTTACTTAGTTTTTTATTCTTCTAATATGTTCACAAATTATTTCACACGTCCTTTGTTTTTGTGTTTTCTGTTTGCTTGCCACCCATCATTTTGGCATACACAGGTGATGACTGTAAAGGGAAGCAGTATTCTGAGACACACACCATCCTCCTCACACAGTCCTCCAGGCCTCAACGCCTAGCGGGGGCACTGTGGAGCGTCCTAGCTTATGCAGGTTAACCACCACTTCTCTTAATGATGCTAACAGTCTGTTATAGAAATATACTGTTACAAGGATAAGTGTAGTACTGATAAGCTTATAACTCAACCCTTTTTAATAGGTATAAACCACTCGTGCTGCAACTCATCAGTTTGAATTTTTTCTCCTCATTTTGTCTTCCAGGTTACTGCCTCCTCCAGCCAGGTTACTGTGTGGTGAGAGCAGGCAAAGCTTTGGGATCAGGGGCTGGGACAATGGCAAAGAAGCTGCTTTCACTGTTCTGGATGCTCCTTGCAGCTCCAGGTTAGTGACACTCTTTTCTCACCTTCTTAGAAAAATGCCTTTTCTGCTTCTTTCTTGGGCGACATGGTCTGATTGTGTTCTCATTCTTGGACTGAATGTGTTTTCTTTTTTTTTGTTTTTTGTTTTTTTTTTATATTTTTTCAATCTGCCCAGTGAAGGCAGGCAGGGGACTTCTGTGGTTTCTTGCAACAGGATGGTACCAGCTGGTGTCTCTCATGTGTCTCCTCAACGTCTTCTTTCTGACACGGTAAGAGTCCTTCCTCCACTTTTCTTATGAGCAGGAGGGTGTTGCAACACACAGAAGAGAGATATAGATATTTTTAATGACTAAGTGGTTTCAAAAATATGAAAGCTGCTATAATTGATGATTTCATAACAACACTTTGTTAAGTGACAACATAACAGTCTATAAGGGGTCTTAATCAATCTAACCAGTGTGTGACTGTCTTTTAGATGCCTTCCCAAACTCTGGAAGCTCCTGCTGCTCCTGTTGCCTCTTCTGTTCCTCCTTGGTGAGTTTATAAGAACTCAGCAGTGCTCCTTTGCTTCAAAAATCAGTCTGTAGGGAGGCAGTAGATGTTACAACCAGCACGCATCCCTAGAGTATCGTGCAAATCCAGTACTAGATTCAGGTCAGCCTTTCTGGGCTTCTAGTGAGTTACTCCATTCTGTGATTCAGCCCTGCTCACACACATTTACACACCAAACACATGCATTTCTTCTTTGTTTACCATGTTGCTCCACTCTACACACAGCATCTATTGTTGCATGGGTCACTCCGAAGTTGTTCTTCCTGATGTTCTTTCCTTTTTTCTTTTCTTTTTCTTTTTCTTTTTTTTTTTTTTTTTTTTTTTTTTTTTTTTTTTTTTTTCATTTTCATTTTTTTTTTTTTTTTTTGGGTGGTGGGGGTTCCTTTATCTGATTCAAGGGTCAAAGGACAGCGGATGTTGTAAGCTGTACACATTGTAAAGCCACTTGAGGGAAACCTGTTTTTTATGATATTGGACTACATACATAAAATTTGACATGACTTGATTTTGACTTGGTAAACGACTTACATACTGGTCCCTTGAATCTTGATTTTTATTTTCCACTTTTCACCATGACAGTATCACAGTGTATACAGTAAATTTTGCATGTGCTTGTTCCAGTACATGTAAATGTAAATACCCTAGATATTTGTGTGTTATTTTATACAGATTTACCCACAATTCAGCCTGTTTGGTATCTATGATCTTCACTAGAATTTACATTTACATTTCTGAAGGGTCTGATAAAAGTTTATATATATTATGAGTTTTTTATGATTGACCAACCAACAGTGAGTGAGGTTTAACCTCCACTATCTATTGTTTATATGCAGCTCTATGGTTGTGGGGTCCGTCCACTGCTGCCCTGCTTGCCTACCTCCCAGCCATAAACCTAACTGAGTGGCGTCCTGCGTCTCCCTTTGCCCTCCTGTCTGACTTGGTGCCAGCTTCGGCTCCAGTTCCTGCCTCTGTCCCCACACCAGAGACTCCACTGGAGCCGACCCCAGCCACCCCAGTCTCACAGGCACCAGTAAGTTAAATGACAAAGTATTATTATAAATCAATGAGTGAATGTGAGTATAATGTGAATGACCACATTACATGAACTATCTTTTTCTATTTTCAACTGAAGACTTTTTTTTTTTAATGACCATAATGCTTTTGCCGTGATTACAAATGATTACAAATCCTCTCTGTTCACTCCGTCATTCTTCTCCTCCGCCTCAGCCGATCCTTCCACCAGTGGCAGTCTCCACTGTGGACTTGGAGCGTCTTGAACGCGTGGAACGCCAGCTAGCCCTCCTTTGGGAGCGAGTCCAACAGGGTGATGAAAAGCAGGAGCAGCGTCATGGGGACGTTCTTGGTCTCTACAGCACCCTGAGGGAGCAGCTACACACTCAGACCGACAGGGAGAGCCTGGGATTGTGGGTGTCCTCCCTGCTGGAACAGAGGCTGGGTGTGCTGCGTGGAGAGCTGGAACAGGAGAACACACACAGGGCACAGGTAGGAGAAGAAGGACACCTGTTGGTTCTGAAAGTTTAAGGGCTGAGTTACAAGAGCACGCCTTTGCTTAAGATGCATCTCACTGTTTTCTCTTCATCCCTGGTTCATGCAGAGCGCAGAGAAGCAGAAACATCAGCAAGAGAGTCAGGCAGCACGGCTGGCTGATTTAGAATTGCTGCTGAACACTCTGGCAGTCAAGACTGAGGTACATACATCAGATTCACAACTTTTACACTGAAAAATCATGCCTGCAGAATGCATGAGGAAATGTGGGAAGATGGCTTTTTTAAAATTTATTTTTTGTTAGTTATTTTGTTATTTTAACAGACTAAGCGCCCATTGATTAACATCACAGTAAATGTGCCAAGTCTGTATACAAAGAAACAGCTGTGCTACATCAAATGTTTATTTTAAGTGGAGTCATTGTGAAGGCTGACTAGACAAAGCAACTTTTCCTTCTTGAGACAATAGTGTCTCATGTTCATCTGTCAGTGGGTTTTTTTCTGAAATTATGAAAGTGAAAGTTTCCCTTTTTTGTGTTTATCTTCAGTAATGCTTATCCATGATCTGTGTTGTAGGAGATGCAGCAGAAGCAGCAGCACTATGAGCACGAGAAGGCGGAAAAAGAGAAAGAGGTTGTCATTTCAGCAGCAGACTCAGCTCCTGTCAGGTACAAAAACAAGAGAAATAAATAAACTGTCCACTTCACATTTGGACTGATTTTTTTGTTTTTCCAATTTGCTAATCACATTTTGTTAAGCAAGTCCTTCAAGATTATGGTAGCTCACGTGGATTCTGTCTTTCATTCAGTATTGGTGTAAAGCAGGAGGACCATGATGCTCTGCTAGCAGAGGTGAAGAGACTTGAGCTGGAGCTGAGTAAAGTCAGACAGGACCTGCAGGGTGTTGTGGGATGCAAGGGCAAGTGTGAGCAGCTGGATACGCTGCAGGAAGCGGTAAGAAACACAAATAATGACTCCTGTAATGTCAACTTAATCTGCCACTAACTGCAAAGTTTTTCATACATCCAGTTTCAATTAAATTTCTTTTCTTCGCTATATTTCTGTACCTCTTTTCCAGATAACAGCACAGGTGTCCTCACAGGTATCCTCACAGGTGCGTAAGGAGTTGCAGGTTCTGTTCTTTGGCAGTGGTGGGTCAGGAGAGGAGCAGGGAGAGGTGCCTGAGTCTCTGATCTACTGGCTGTCCCAGCGCTACGTCAGCGCACCTGACCTGCAGGCGTCCCTGGCCTCACTGGAGCTGAGCATCCTGAGAAACGTGTCCCTGCAGCTGGAGCTCAACCGAGCCCAGACCCTGGGTGAGGCCGAGTCTCAAGCCAAGACCATCATTAACACAGTAACTGGGACTGTCCAGCATACTGCCTCTGCTGAGGGACTGACAGAAGAGGTAATGAATGTATTCTTCCTACTGTCAGCATCATTATCACTGCAGACCTCTATCTTAATCACATAATCTATGATGAGCTCTTTAAAAGTGTTGGTTTTCCATGTGTTTGAGGCTGTTATTTAATCTCCAACTCTTGTGTTGTGGTCTCTACCCCAGCAAGTGAAGCTGATCATCCAGAACGCTTTGAGGCTCTACTCCCAGGATCGAACAGGCCTGGTGGACTACGCCCTGGAGTCTGGTGGTAAGAAGGAAGCCTTGCATTGATTTCAGGGCCTGTCCATCCTGGGCCGTCATACAAGTCAATGTGTAGAAGGGATTAGCAAACTAGCTGTTCCATAACTCAGTACTGTGCTACACAACAAGGGGTGCAGGCATTAGCCAGGCTCTAGGACAGCTGGGTATTAATGGGAAAAGCTCAGGGTCCATTGTCATGTCTGTCACTGAGCAGTCTGTTGACCTACATGGGAGATTGAGTTCACAACAAGTTATGACATGGAACGTAACCCTAACCCATGACCACCTTGGTTTCATTTCATGTCCCTCTCACCCATCCCCTTTATTTCCTGTCACATCACGTAAATAAAGTGCATCATCAGCATCAGAATAACTCGCTGCACGTTCACCAGCGGGTGCAGGGTTTCCCTCAGGCAACTGCTTAGCAGAAGGATTGGTGGTCCAACTCATAATCACACAATAAAATAAAATGTTGTTCTGAGTAAGTACTACAAAGTGTACATAATATGTTATCAATCAATCATGTGGGAAACCCTGGAGTGTATGTTTCTCTGTGAAACTAGACAGTTAAAGGAGAAATTAAGGTGGCCAGTTCTATAGCTAAATAAATTCCCAAAGTTGTCCTGCAGCTGCCTTGAAAAGTGGAGCGGTACACTACACACACACACACACACACACACACACACACACACACACACACACACCCAAATAGCGTTTTGATCTTGCCTTCAACTGATTAGTGACTCTGGAAATGAACATTTTACTTTTCAGCATAATAAGAGTTTTCTGTTTCCCTCTGTGTTTACAGGTGGCAGCATCCTTAGTACCCGGTGCTCTGAGACGTATGAGACAAAGACAGCCCTCATGAGTCTGTTTGGTCTGCCACTCTGGTACTTCTCCCAGTCTCCACGTGTTGTCATCCAGGTGAGCCTCATCACAAGATAATCCAAGAGATATCACAATGGGAAAGACGTTAGATCTTGAGTGGGGAGACATCTTATGTCACTGATGAACTGGATTACTTGTTTAAATATTATCATTTAATGGTAGGTGGGAAGTAAAACTAATTCATAAGAAACCTTAGTCACAAGTCTTGGCAACTATTAAATGACTCATTTTGGCATTTGTCACCTCACTTCCCTTCTCCAGCCCGACGTGTACCCGGGTAACTGCTGGGCGTTTAAAGGCTCTCAGGGCTATCTGGTGATCCGACTGTCCCTGAGGATCTTGCCTACATCCTTCTGCGTGGAGCACATCCCCAAGGCCTTGTCCCCAACTGGAAATATCACCAGTGCCCCTCGCAACTTCACTGTTTTTGTAAGAAACATAGTGGCATGACACCTTACAGCCGGACACTTTCTAATTCAAAGCAAGCATCAATGATTAATGTCTCTTTTCACTGGATGTTTGTTTATATTCAGGGTCTAGATGATGAGTACCAAGAAGAAGGGAAGCTGCTGGGACAGTACATATACCAGGAAGATGGGGAATCACTGCAAACTTTCCCTGTTACGGTAACTGTAGAGGCACCTCCTAACCTATTGGAGATAAAGTTTCATCAGTTCAGTTCGATTTCCACGACCATGTGTTAAATATTTTCCCCTCTTCTCTTTCAGGAAGAGAATGACAAGGCCTTTCAGATCATTGAGGTGCGGGTGCTGTCTAACTGGGGTCACCCAGAGTACACCTGCCTGTACCGCTTCAGAGTACATGGAGAACCTCGGCCCCTGTGACACAACCACTACCATGCCGCTCATATATGACATATCACCCTATCTGTACATAGCTCTTGCCAACTTCTTAAAAATGGAGGGGACTTGGTTCTACTTTGTGGACGTTTTTGTATGTGGATGTTTTTGTATGAAAGCCATGAAGAGACGGAAGTTTTGGATTGTTAAAGGAATGTGCCCAGACTGAATCACGAACATGTTTTGTAATCTTGAAAGAATCACGGGAAAGTCTGTATGCGGACTGTCGATGTCACAGAAGAAGAACAGAACCACGGAAGAAGCTAAAAGTACCAGTCCCCTTTTTGTAAAAGGCCTCTTGCACTGAATTAGCCCGTGAGGGCGCCAGGTTCCACTGAGCGGACATATCCATCCCCCTCTTGGCACGTTCCACTTCTACAGGAAGGTGGATGCTTGAAATGGGGGATTAAAGACTCATCTACACCATTTCCTCACACACTATCTCAGTCTGATTTGGTTTTTGTTATTAATCATCTGTATTTATCTTTATTTTCCTGGTAGAGACTACAGTACTATTTTCAGGATTGAAGCCACAGCACCTTTTTCTGTGACGCTGTCCAGGCATGTTACTCCCTTTGTTGCTGTCAGGTGTCTGCAGTGACCTTAACTGAGCTTTGTGACGGCCTGCTGGACTGGAGGACACTCACAGGAGGTTTATACTGGACATATACGGTTCACAACATTCAAGGCTTGGCATCATGCATCCACATAGCCATAACTAAGGTTTTTTTTTTTTTTGGAACTGAACATGCTGCCTATGGACAAGCTCTGAATGTTTTCTCAATTGGAGGCTTGATGCAAGTCATCCTTCAACTACACCGCCACACTATATAACCACTGACCCACTGACCTGCACTCTGTGTTGAGAATATTAGGAGGCTCTTCTCTATGTACATTAGACAAAATATGTGTATGGTTAGGGATGGACTCCAGGATTAACACTAGCATGTGACTCTTCCAGAACCATTACTGTTTAACTTTTACATGCATCATGGATTTACATGGAGCTTTGAGTCCTGTGCCTGGATCTCAAATTATAAATCAATGTTGAAAACTAAATATAACTTCTCCTGTAGACAAGAGTGTGATTTTTCTTTTCCGTTTCTATCAAGAGGAGACTCTCTGTGTCCTTCTAGCTCAGTTATAAACGTCCTCATGTGGGCTCCCTCTATTCTGAAACCCTGAAGGAATGTAATCTGTATATTTTATTGTTGATAGCTGGTCCTTTATAATATCTGCTTTTATCAGTGTTGCTTTATAAAAAAAAATCATTCTGTCATTATCATCATTATTGTTGTATTACTACTTTTATTTCTACTGTTACTCATTTGCTTTTTTTGTTTTGTTTTGGGGGGGGTTATAATGTCAGCGGATGCACTGCAACAACTTGTTAGAGAAATGTTTGGCACAGGTCTTCACAATTTGTTTAAACATTGGGGTGTTCGTAGTCACCTATTTTAGTTGCAAATATGGGAAAGTCTAACATGTTATGTATAAAAAAATGTTCTTCACAATCTTATTTATTAACAAGTCGGTTAGTTCCTACAAGATATGAGTTACTGCAATGTATATTTTGTGAAAAGCTGTTCAGTGCATTTTGGAACCATCTTGGGACTTTTTTTTAAGATAAATGGCTATTTTTGTTCAGTCATAAGATGACTTAACTGCTTTGGAATATATTCCAATAAAGACTTTAATTTTGAAGAACCTCCTCTAAATAATGTAATCATGGCTAGAGAATATTACCATGCCATTATCATCGTTTGCTTTAATATATTTTTAGAAAAAAATCCATTTACCTTGCGATACTGGTGTTTGTTGTCATCGGTGGCTGATCCTTCATTTAGAACCATCAGTAACAGATCTGACTTAACCTTTTTCCCCGATAGAGAGCAAGAGTATCAGGAAAATATTTTGATCTAAAGTACAACAGCCAACAAAAATACAATATGACAAACACTTGTGTATTTAAAAAGAAATGCTAAAACACATGAACTAATCCTTAATTTATCCCAGAAATCACAACATACTCCTTGAATTTAGATTAGGGCAGAAACCTTAAACTTAAAATTTAGAGATCCGTCATAGTAGCCAGAGAGCCTATAATTTGTTAATTAATTTGAAATGGTGAAAATCAAACACTAATTTGAAAAGCCCTTAGTTAAGAAAAGGACAATGTAAGGGGTAGACATAGTCATGTAAGAGTTTCTAGTGCAGTAAATGTTCATTTAGAATGTGTATCTCTTTGTTTAATTGAGTTAAGTAAAAGTAGAAATGCCAAAATTTTAAAATTCTTTGTTAAAAGTCCTGAATTCAAAATCTTACCTAGTACATAAAAGTACATATCAAAAAATGTACTTAAATGTACTTACTATACTGTCAAAAGTAACTTATATAAAATATATACATATAAACTAAAAATATTAAATAAAAGTAGTGTAGTACAAAGTACAAAATTTTAGTTTCTTTTCAACACTGGTATTTAATATTAAGAAGCCTAATTAATTGGTTAAAGTGAGGCAAATGTAGTGCTAAATGTAATTATACTGTGTCGATGTGTGTGCCTTTTACTCATTTATGTAACCATAATTCAGGTCCTGCATCGATCTCAAAGGTTTAACATACAGTATCGATGGTTACCTGCTGCTCTCTACTGGCGAATACGGGAAATACAGAATTAACGGACTAGTGCTCGTTATATTTTTTTTCCACATAGGAAACGGCTCAAAAGGGGAATTTGTTCCAACATTAAAAAGCTCAGGAGAAAAAAACACGACTTTATTAATGTGGCCGCGGATATAAAGCAGTTAGAATGCGGTACCCATCACCCACCATTAACAGCATCAGTAGGCTATTAAGAAAAACTACCGCTCAGGTATGTTTTATTAAGCAACTAGTAACGCTATAATAATCATTACACCAAGAGTATAAGAAGAAGGTGTGACTATATCATTTGTCTGTTCATTTTCCCTTTATTATTTCCCTGTCCAACTCATAGTTTTCTCCAATTGTTTTAACTTTACACCGGAAATTAGTTGCCAAGGATGCATAACTACTTCCTTGGCAACCAACGAGTCATTGACGACCTCTGGAGAAAACGAGCAGAACAATGGCGAAGATAATCGGTGACAAAAAATCCCTTTGGCAACAAGTGTGTGAAGGTAAGATCATAATTGCTCTATCTGTTTAAACTTTTGTGAATTGAAAAATAATCAAGCTAATTTCTTTTGTTTAATGTGTTTTTTGGAGAGTATGAAGCTGAGCAGCCTAGTCCTCCCAGTGCTGTGTGGACAGATAGCAGCTCAGTGAGCACCCAGTTCTCCCAGTACAGCGCCAGTACACACTCCCCAGTCTTCTATGGACTCACCACAGCCAAGGTTAGCTGTACAAATCTGCCACATCGGTCTGCTGCATGTTTTCAAAGTAATTATGACAGTCTCTTGTTTCATTAGGTGTCTGTGGATGATGAACCTCTGAGAGACTTTGACCCACTTCTTTCCCACCCTGCTCTTGCTGCCTACTCTGTGTTGGCAAAACCCCCTCCACCAAGCCAGAAGTGCCCATCAGCAGCTCAAAGTACATCGCCTCCACAAATCCATGAATGTAAGACCCATGAATCTAAGGAGGGCCTAGTGCAAAATTGGTGTTCGGCTCCACTATATTGAACTTTAATTAATTCCTCAGACCCCCAGAAATGAAAAGTACCGTAGGGCTGAAATGATTATCAGATCAACAGAAAATCAATTATTTGTTCACTGGTACCAGCTTCTCAAATGTGAATGTTTACAGTTTCACAGTTCTATTGTAGTGAACTCAGCATTTTTGTTTTCTTTAACTGTTAGTAAGACAAAATGATTTAATGGAATATTAATTTTACACAAATAATTGTGGCATCCTCATTCATATATAGTATGTCTGTCTGTGTGGGTGTGTTTCTGTGTTTGTGTTAGGTCCTGTCACCAGTTTTATGGAGAGGAATTTGTTTCCAGTGTTGTTGCCTGGACTGGAGGCTTTGCTGAGAGACGCTCAGAAACACGGCTGTTTCCAGGTCTAAATTTCATCTGATCAACATCCAACTAATTATGAAACGACAGGCAACTGTTGAAATGAAAACAGATTGATTTAAAACCTGAAATCAAAGGAATTAGTGTGTTTGGTGGGATTGTAGGATAAAAATGGTCAAATTTGCTCTATGATGCCTATGTATGTTTACTTAAGTACAGTGCTTAAGTACAAATTTGATGTACTATTCTACAACAGTGGAAAAACTACCTGCCATTCAATTGAACAACTTCACTGAATTGAACAATTAAATGGCAGCAGATCTATTGGTCCTCATTGACACCCAGTACCCAAGTATTGTGATTAAGTACAGTTTTTAGGAACTTGTACTTAACTGGAGTATTTCTATTTTCTCCTGCTTTATATTTTATTCTGTCCACTACAAATTATTGCTTTTCTTCACCACATTCTTTTCACAGCTGTATTTATTAGTTACTTTGCAGATTAAGATATATATGATCATTTTATGAAATATGTTGTAATATACTAGATTACCAAATAATACATGAAGTAATTTAAATTTGCTTCACCTCAACCAACTATAGACAATAAAATGCTTACACATACGCATCAGTAATATAATCCAATATAATATTATAGTACAATAATATAACACTTGCACTGACTGTTGAGTTTTAATTATACATTTGTCCTTGCTTTTACTTAAGTGAGATTTTGAATGCAGGGCTTACTCACTTGAACTGGAGTATTTTTACATTGTTATTTACAGTTGTACTTTTACTAATGAAATTTGTACAAGTAGTGCTGAATACTTCTTCGTCTGCATGTTACATAGCATTGATTACTTTCCTTTGTGTTGCAGAGGAAAATGACAACATTTAACCCATGTGACTTCCTAACTGAGTGGCTATACAAGTAAGGCCTTCAACTCTCTCAACAACTCTCTTTTCACTCCACAGTACTCACCTCATCCCATAAACTCTCTCAAATGTCATATTGTAAGGGTTGTGTGTGAAAAATTGTGAGTGTGTCATGTGTTTTCATCCTCTCTCACTCTTCCTCAGCCACAACCCCCGCAGGCAAGGACAGGTGGCAGTGAACTTCCATAACATCCCCTTTGTCAAGGACTGGCTCAGCATGCAGTGAGTGTCTCATCAAACTGTCACCTGTCCCACACACATACTACAGTGGTTACCTGCAAAATCATTTGTTTGTCAAGAAATGAAACTATGCTTTATTTGAAATTTTGTCTTGTCACCAGGTTCCTCTCCAATCTCCAGTTTCTAAAGTGTTAAACAAAATTAATTTCATGGAAATTAATTATGCAAAGACCAGTTTTAAGCTATGACATGCACAGATACATGCTGTGAGTTTGCATGTTGCCATGCTGCCTTTCTTGTCTCTTGTCACACATTTTCTCTTTTTCTCTCTCTCTCTATCTGAAGTCCCAGACGTCCCATCCCCCTGTTTCTATTGCTGAGTGAAGATCAGGCTGCTCTGCTCATCCAGGCTTTCTGGAGGGGATACAAGGTACACTGGACATGACTGGAAGCAAAATCATGTTTACAGGCTTTCTGTCTAACACTTTATAAAAGTACTGGAACAAGGAATGCAGACAGAGTTAATAGAAACTTGATTGCAGGGGTGTGAAAGGAGTTGTTAAATAAAGAAAATACCCTTGAAAGAAATCTGGGAAGAGAATGCCAATGTTATTTAAACCTTGATGCCAATAACATTACAATGTTTTTGAAACTACACTTCACATATATACATATTACTTTAGCTATGCTTGCCTGGGCTAGTGTGTCCTGTCCACTCTAATTACCACCTCCCAAACTTTTAAAATTGATTTTAAGAAGTTACACTCTAAAAAAAAAAAAAAGAGGTTTTTAAGGTCAAAAGTTTGAAGGAAACCTGCAATTACCCAACACGCCACAGTAAGTCTGTCTGCGTGTGTGTGTGTGTGCGTGTGTGTGTGTGTATGGGCCAGTTATGATACAATAGGCGTCCTCCTGTGTGTGCATTGGCCCACAGTGCAATCTTGTTGTATAATTCCATCTCACTGAAAAGCCCCTCTTCCACGGGGACTGCAGTTTCATTCAGCAGCTTGATTATGTCATCAGTGATGCCGGGCTTTAATTCCCTCCTGTGTGGGCGTTGTGGTCTGAAGTGTTCTGTACTGTGATATAAATAGACATACACAGACACTACCAGGGGCAAACAGCCACAGTTTCTCCACACACAGATAACTCAGTCTTCTATTGTGTAAGGATGCAAGCAGGGGTCATGTTGTTGTTTGTCTCACCAGAAGCTCTTATTTTTTGCTTATCCTTCCTGCTTGTGGGAGGATTCAGCTTCAGTCTTTCAACAAACCATTGAGAGGGAAAGATGCCAGCTGTGCTGTCACGTACAATTACATTCTGTTTGAATGAAAATATGTTTTTGCATGCAATTGAATTTGTGGGTGTGTGTATTAAAAGATGGACTGAATGTGTGTACACGTGTATCCAGATTTGGAGCATGTGTACACCAGCAGAGGGCAACACCTCCTCTCTTTTTTCTGTAACAACACAAAACTCTAATTGACCTGTGCTCACATGAGGTGGCAGCAGCGAGCCAGCTGCCCATCACTTCTCACTGTGTTTGCTCTGAACTGAGAGTGAGCTTCAGTAGGGCCACTGATGGCACTGTAGCCAGGCACCCCAAGGGATTTAGAAGAAGAGAGACACAGCCAGGAAGAGATGGAAAGTAAATAAAGAGAGAATGGGAGGATATATCTGGAAGGATAAAGCTCAGGCTGTATATGGAACATTTTTGGATGGATGGATGGATGGATGGATGACAAGAAGGGAGGAAAGGCAAGATGATGTTGTAGAGTGGCTTTGGATTAGGAATGGGGCAAGATGAAATGCAGTATTGGGTAGGAATAGGGAGAGAGATGGAGGATGAAGCTTCTGGGAGACACAGACAGGCTGTGAACGCAGCACAATCAGGGTCCTAAGTTGAGGCTTGGCCTCTTAGACACACTGAGGATCATGACTTATTTAAGGTACACAGGGAGGAGTTATTTTGGGTAGGCACTGAAGCAAGGTCCTGACAGGCGTTATAGTGTCACGGCTGCTGTTACCTTGGCTCTAGAAAAACAACAGTTTAACAGCACAGTGGGCAGCAGACCAGAGACAAGGACATCAGCACAAACAGTCAGTTGTGCAACACTGATGCGCTTTAAAACCTCGTGTGTGTATAACATTGTTTGTTTCTGCGTGTGTCTATTGCCATGAGAATGTGTACATGCATGTTTGCAAACAGCATGTGACGATTCAGTATTGTCATTTATTTTCTCCCATTATAAATGCATTCTGATCAAACTCTCAATTCATTATACTGCAGTTCCTGGATCTCACATCTATGTGAACAATAACAAACTATATTTCCCCATAATCTGTCCCAGTGTGATGTTTTTAAGTACTTGAGAATATCTTCGAGGGTTTTATGTGAGTATAATAGGATTATTATGGGTTACTGCTGTAGAAAAACACCCTAGAAAAAAACCCATTTGACTCAATGATGAATATGAGTTTTCTATGTGGTTTTTATTGAGATAATGCCTTGATAATTATGCTGATATAAAAATGTATCCAACATTGCACACCTTCCTTTATCAATATACTCTGTTCTCTTCACCCCCCTCCACACACCCTCGTTTTCCCCCTCACTCTTACACATTCTGCTGTTATATAACCTGCCTGACGCAGCGCTGACTGCAGAGTGTGTGTGTGTGTGTGTATGTGTGTGTGTTAGAAAGACAGACAGACTGAGGGCCAGGAGGCAGGGAGAGAGGAGAGTATTTTCATAGATTGGAGTTTTAGTGCTCCATTATTAATCTCTTTCATCAAAACATTTTGAGGAGTGGAGATGAGCAGCAGCAGAGATAATACACACAGACACACACACTGACTCACATCTATGACCCAGACAATATGATTGTCTGTTGTTTCACTCACGTAGAACTATAAAGAGCTGCTAGGCCTAAACATATTACATAATCTTCTTTACACTGTGTGCCTTAGCCCAACTCTAATCCATTCATCCATGCCTGCTAGTGTAATGCACACATACAGTACGTACGTGCACACAGACACACACCACTGATCACTAAGACTTCTCAGGCTCTCTCAGGTTTAGTCAGCTGAGTTAGAGTAATGTGGTAGCAGTGTAATAAATAAGAATTACACTTAGGTTGTCAATATTAGGGGGTTGTGGTCAGGTAGAGAAGCAGACATCTTAATCATTTCCAACGTCTCCATTTGCAGATTTATTAACTGTGCACACACTGTGGTTAGCCACATCCTGGCTATAGTCTACCCTTACGTAGCATGAAAACTTAAAGGAAGAGTGTGACATTTTCAGAAATATGCTAATTCACTTTCTGGCAGAGCGTTAAATGAGAAGGTTGATACCACTCTCATCTTCATCCTGTAAATACAAAGCTATAGCTAGCAATGGCTAAATGACAAACCTTTGCTCTAAAGGTTAAGTAGTTTTCATTTTTATGATCATTTCTGTGAACTGCTTGTACATTTTATTCTGACTAGCATTCAGTTTGTCTTAGATCTGGGTTAAACTTAGGGACTGATGTAGATTTTCTCACCTGAAATTGATCCTTTGTTTCTAAAGGTAACTACTGTATATAATGCACAATAAATGATAAGTTGTTTTTAAATTTCATTTGTTAAGTCATTTAGACTGAAGTGTCGGTCCTGTTACAGTCCCAACATGTCTGGGAAAAGTACTCTTGGACTCGCCAGCCTGTTTATTGTTAAGAAGTGGGGCACTGAGAGTACTGAGTGGTATTCCACTTGACATAAACTAATAAAGCTGGTTGAAAGAATCACAGACACACACACACACACACACACGCACAAACACACACGCGCACACACACACACACACACACACACACACACACACACACACACACACACACACACACACATACACACTCTGAGCTGTATAGTCAGCTCAACAGTAGAAGTAGGTCCTTGATTCCAGCTGAATGATTCGAGCGCAGAGATAGACGAATGGTTTGGATTCAGGTCCAGTGTTAAGTCAGTGATGGGTCACGAGCAGTGACACTCATGCAGAAAATATGTCACAGGCACTCAGGACATCCAGTAGCCGGTGGCTCTGCTTCGTCCTCCCTCCTGCTGCAGAGAGAATGTAGGGGCAGAAATATGGATTGGTCATAGCATGAGGGGCCTACACAGGTAGCCCTGTTATATCCACCTCCATCTGAAATATATAGACTATGTTCTATCTTATTTACCTTTAAGTGTTCTTACAAAGAACAGTATGGTCACAGTGCAACCACTTACTGTGTCTGAGTCTACAGAGGCACAAATCAGATCACAGGATGCTTGGCCAGTTAAGCCTTGATGAAGCATCGGTCAACAAAAAGATGATGGATGGTTGGGTGGATGGATGTGGAGGGTAACTGGAGTAGACTATGGTGGCTGTGTCTTTATGCAGCCTGTCAGTATGGTTGGTGATGCAACAGCAGCCAGTCCCTCCGAACAGAAGCCATTGTGCTGCTGCAGAGTGTGAGACTGGGAGAGGAGTTCAGTCTCACAGCCAGCTTTGCACAAAAAGGAAGGCAGCTTGAAAGGCTGTGCAGTGGGATGTGTGTGAGAGAGGGTGAGGAGGGCATACTGTGCACAGTTTGTGTTTCCGTGTGGTTGTTGAGTGTAGGGGGTTCTGCTTGCGGTGCTGATGGTGTGGGCTTTGAGAGATAGAGCAGGATGGAGCCCCTCTCTTAAATGTTTTGTGCTGCTGTGTGGTTTTTCAGCACGTGTGCATTTGCTTGTGGTTGTGCTTTTGCATGTCAAATAATGCGTGTGAACGCATGCAGCCTTGCAATGTCTTGCTAATTTTTCCTGATCACTCTAATCCCAACCTTCATGCATAGACACAGCAGGAGAGGACTGACTCACGTGTACACTGAAACATGACTCTATCACATGTGCATTGACATTGATGATTATAGCAACAAGCTATTGTGTTATCAAAGGGTAATTAGTGATTTGCATTAGGAAGAATGAAGAAAAATATAAATTTGTGTTATAAATTAGGTTCAAATGTATTCATTCTCACACACAGCGTAAATACACATAGAGTCTTAGACCCGCTTCATGCACACAGTCAAAACAATACCTCACCCCTGCTAATCAGTTGTGCTGATGCACACAGACAGGCTTCAAAATGCTCACACACACACACACTCAGCTCAGCTCTTTGTCTCCTGCTGTCACACACAAACTGTCAGTGTCCTGTAGAAAGCTTGTATATTCACAAAGCCAGCTTTTGAAGAACTGAGAAAAACTGTTTTTGTCTTTATGAGTGTGACATATTATAAAGCATTGTCAGAGGGGTCCCACGGGTACAGCCGTCAAATATTTCTGTCATTTAAGCAATGCTGACAGCAACAGAATTAAAACTGGAGGTTTGAGGTTTTTGCAGCACACCAACGAAAGTGACACAGAGTACAAAATGGCCACACAGACACGCACAAACGATGGTGAGTAAACACGACAGACTCTAGCTCCCCCACCAATGCTGACCCTCACCCCTCATTTCCATTTCTATGGTTTGCTCCCATCAGCAAAGGGGCTGTTGCAGCGCTGTGACACCCGGTGAATTAACTATTGGATCTCACCATTCCTCAGCCCACTACCAGGCATATATAACAGGCCCACTTTCATATCCACTGCTAATAGCAACACTATTGTCCCCACACAAGCAGGCACTCATGGGAGAGTGTTGGAGAGGGAGGAGCAGGAGGAAAACAAGGAGGAGAGGTGGGAGAGAGTACTGAGGAGAGAGGTGGATGGAGTGGGATGAAGCATTGATGTGCTGGAGAACAAGAGAATGAGGTGTTTGTATAAGAGACAGTATCTGAGGAGAGGCACACCTGGGTAGTGAAGGAGAAGAGAGGAAAGGAGGGAAAAGAGGAGGAAAGGGAAAAGTAAGGAAAAGGAGGCCCAGTTAGTGGTAAGCAGGGAGATAATGAAGGGAAAGGAAAGTGAGCTCTTCAGGGATATTTTTTATTAATCTAAAACAGCAAGTTTGTCTAGCAATCTCTCAGGAAAGCCAGAAGCCCACACACAAACACACACAACAACTACAGGGAGTTCGTCTGATAACAAAAGAGCCAAATACAGATTGAACAGGGAAAAGAAAGAGACAACTTATTGACAATTAGACTACGCAGATCTGAATTTCACCAATTTACCCACCTACAACACATTCTGCAAACCTCAGATCCTCAGGCAAAGAGGTCCAAAGCTGAGGGGCCCTGACAGCAATAGCCTGCTCACCTGTAGTGTTTGAACACAACAACGATGATGCAACATCTAATGGCATGTTGATGAAGTTGTTTCACCTCATTTAGACAATACTGGTGGTGTACAAGTACTGGTCAGTTTGAAACTTAATTAAGTTATTGATGATGTTCGCTTATCCGATTTCATCCATGTGCTGACTTTGCATGTGTACTGTGCGTGTGTGTGTGTGTGTGTGTGCACGTGCATGTGTGTTATAGATCAGGGCTCGCCCAGATGTGCAGGAACTACGTCAGTGGCAAAAAAAACTGAGAGAGAACCACAACATTGCCAAAACAGTCGAACAGTTCTGGGCCCAACAAGAGAGCCGAGGTGAGAGAGCGTGCGCGCGCACACACACACACACACACTCACATGGTAGCACTAAATACCAGGCCTCAGGCTTGCAACACAATAGCATTGATCTTGAATTTTCCCCTGGTGGCCAATGACAGCTGCTGATAAGCAGGCAGGATGCCAACACACTTTTTTGTCACGGACTAGAATGCATAAATATCAACCTACACAGTACTACACACATTTCCACAAATACACACTTATATCAGCTCGTGCACAGTACAGTCTCAGACACACACACATGCATAGAAACTGATACAGTATTCATCTCAGCGTGGCTTTGAAGTTAAAGCAGAGAGATGAGGATTCTGGGAGCACTGACACAGAGAGAGAATGAGGCCAGTGACAGATAGAGAAAGAGCCAAGGAGAGAGACTATGAGGAAGAGAGAGAAGATTGCAAGTGAAGGAGAGAAAGAAAATATCTGCAGGGCTCAGGGTGTGTTTGTGTGACAGAGATAGAGCAGAGGATCAGGGCTGGGGATACATGTGAAGAAAGAGACGAGCTTCAGAGCGAAGAGTATGGGAGATGAAGACAGAAGAGTGAGTGTGTGTGTGTGTGTTGTGGGTGTACTCTGTGCTCACATGAAGGACGGAGTGGAAGGACAGCTGAGAATGCAGATCCATGTCCAGTGTGACTGACCTGCATTAAAGCTCAAAGAGAGAGACAGAAATTTGTCCTTGAACACACACACACACACACACACACACACACACACACACACACACACACACAGTGGTACAATGTGCAAGTGATACCCAAGTACCCCATAGCAAATGAAAGCACACACAGCAAAATTTTGATTTTAATATAAACCACAGAAAACACACTCAAATATGATTACAGATTGTTGTGATGCTGATTATAGCTCAGGGGATTGCAATGTCAGTCCATCTATCTTTAGTCTGTTGGCCTTCCACTTTTGGTTCAGACTGAAACATCTCAACAACTCTTGAATTAAATTTTGTACGGAATGTTTTGGTCTCCAGAGGATGAATCTATTGGTTTATTGGTCTTTCTGTGAAATCTCAGCACCAGGATTTATTGTCATCTGTTGGGTGATGTACCCACTTTTCCTTTAGCGCCATCATCAGGTCAACATTTTTATTTATCCAATACTTTGATTTTGACAAAATACCCGCAAAACTAGCTAAAAAACCAACATTCACGTCAGCTTCAATTGTATGCATTTTGCAATGCTAGCATTAGCATTCAGCTCAACACACTGCTGTACCTATGCCCAAGTAGCAACAATCTCACAGAGACACTAGCATGGTTGTAGACTCTGTCTTGATACCTAACATATGTAAATGTAATAAACTTATACCAGAAGAACTGTAAGGCCATGAGACCTCACTTATGAGACCTTATTTGAAAGGTAACATTTTCTAGTTTCTGAAAATGTGCTTGTTTTGCATGTGACTACAGCACAACCAAAACTACATCAGCTCATAAATGGTATTTATTAGTATTTTTCAGTCCTCGTCTCTAAAAGAGTCATATTACATATTTACCAACAGGATATACTTTATACAAGAACAATGAAAAAGCTCCACAATACTTCTACATCTTGTCAAAAACTGCTGTGTGAAGTTCCAATGCCTGTAGGCCTATTAATTTAGTTTAGTAGGCCTTTATAGTTAATTTTTTCACTGGCACCGATAAACCGCTCTAAAAGGAAAACTGGGAGAAATGTGCTTAACTCTTTAATATAAAATAGAAAACATACTGAAGCATTTTGATGCCATTTAAAACAGAGCTGATCCTTGTCTCAGGCTGCAGGCTGTCAGCTGCTCTCACACCTCCCACATCCTATTGGTCTTGCCTCTGAAGTGCCCACCCCCTTAGTTTGCGCTGATCGGTCGGTGGAGACGTCTATCTACAAGCTATTGGTTATGCGCTGTCTTCCCCCTACCCAGAGTAGAATAGATTAATAGATAATAATTAATATTGAATAGATTCAAGGGCTCTGCCCCTACCCCCCTGAAGTGAAATCTGATTGGATCTTTACAGGAAGGCCTCCATTTTGAAGCCAGAAAGCTAATAAACCATAGCAGACCCGCTAACACAGCCACAGATGAACCTGGATGGAGAGAGAGGGAGAGAGGAGAAGTGATACAAATCGCAGATACAAATCGCTCGGTCGTCTACTTTGGACTTTTCGTGATGACATTCATAACCTAGAATACTTGATTTTTGTGATCTGTGGACCCTTAAGGACTAAAGGAATAAATACAATGGAGGAGTGGAGAGAGAATCGGAGTTCTACACGTGGAAATGGTAGGTAGTCACCACGTTCCCTGGTATTGAATGCTGGTAGATATTGATACATCATATTTATGTGCTTATGGTTAGAGCAAAATGAACTGAATATTTGAATTCTATAGATTCTAACGATCTAACGAGGTACAGCCTCTCTATGTTGACAAACGTTTAAGCATTTACTCCTTCAGAACACGTTCAGAACCTTCTAATGGGCCCCTGGACGGGCCGGCGGGCCGTATGACGTTATTCCCAACTAACAACTACAGTAGTCATTTCAGATATCTTAGCTTAATCTTTATGTTTTATTAAAGCATGTTTTACTACTTTCCGCTAAAAAAAAAAAAAAAAAATCTTATATTGTTTGCCCTGCCACATTGGGGCAATCAGATGACTGCTTTATTAAACAATAATAAGTAGTCCTGTAGGTGTAGTTATGATGACATTGGCTTTAATGCAAAGTGTATTTTAGCTGATCTGATAGGACTGTAGTGGTACAACAAAACCACACTGCATTATACTACCATGATACCAAGGCAATGTGGATGGACATGCTACAACCAGAGGATAGGCTGTATATTAATGTGCATACAGCTGATGACAAACACGCACACCCACACTCCAGCATGCACATCCAAGCTTGTCATGGTAGCAACTCTGTTTTTGGTGCTCGCAAACAAAGAATGACACCATCATACATGCGGGTTTGTTTCCACACTGACACATTCCACACAACAAAGGCGTTCACTGCAGCCGTGGCAGACCGACGAACATTCTTCCACTGGGGTGCCACAGTCACACAGTGCTGCTGCTGCTATCTACTGCTACCGATACTGCACCACTACTGCTGACCTGACATTCTAGCATGGAGCCTGGGGATGTGTGTGTGTGTGTGTGTGTGTGTGTGTGTGTGTGTGTGTGTGTGTGTGTGTGTGTGTGTGTGTGTGTGTCTTTGTTTGTTTGTTTATTTGTTTGTAAGAGAGTGTGTGAGTGTACAAGACAGTCTACCCAGACTGTGTCCTGAATAGAAGCCATTTTCTGACCTCTTCAACAGAATCTGAAATGGATGAGGATGGGAGAGAACCAGAAATGTGTGAGACAGAAGCAGGGAGGGAGGGGGAGGGATTGGTGCTGAAGTTGCAGTTTGTTTGCTGGTTTTGCCTCTTGTTGTTTTGGATGTAATGAAGCAAGCACTGCCCTCCAGCACTGACAGACAAATGACCCATGTTTGGAACTGAGACAGAGGTAGAGAGAGGGTGAGTTTAGGGGCGGCCCCTTTTTGCTGTATACAGGCTCTTTAAGTTGATCCAGCAACAGCTGCACTTGTCTCATTTGACCCAAAGAGATAGCATGTGATACCTCTTCTGCCATTTCACGTTTCACAGTCTGAAATTGGAATTAGTTGGAGATGGAGAGAAGAACAATAAGGCTAAGAGCAAAGTAAGAGAGCAGATGCACGATGATACTTCGAGGTCAAAAGGTCACGGCTCATTGGACAGGTGCAGATCTCAGCAGCTCATGAATCACCGTGCGACTGTCCTTGACTGTAGCCTGACATTTTGGATGTTTACCATCAGTGCAAACTCTGTCCAAACAGAGTAGTTAGCTAGAACAGAACAGTTTTCCTCATAGTGGTAATGAAAATAATGAGTCAGAGTACTTTCATCATAAAGTCATGTTGCTGCCCATAGTATATCAAGAAATAAAACATTTACATAAATGTGTCAGTTACATTTAATTATTAACTCGTCTGGCACAAGTTGCATTTGAAATATCTTCTTCCTTTATTATGAAGATCCCCAACTCCATGTTTATGAAGAGCACATTATTGGTATTTGAAATAATAAATATAGCAAATCAAATTTCACTACTGTTATTTATAATCTGTTAGTGGTTCTTGTCATGGTATAAATGACCAAATCTAGCAGTTTATTCATCATAGCTTCATGTCCATAAAGTCAAAGTCATTGCCTTTTACTGGCCCAGCCCAGGCCTCATTAAAATATTGTTTCCTGTCAATCATAATTGGAATTAACTAAAATGATTTGTTGCTATATCTCATTACAACATCCATACCAGAAACAGAAGGTTGTGTAAAACAAAGTCGAGGACAGAAAAATTCTCATGGGTATGTTATGGTAGAACATTTAAGAATATGTCTGACACTTTAGTGAGCTTTTAATTTTTTAAAAACCTTTTCATATTAAGGATGCAGTTCTTGTTTTTCTCCAGTGGGCTCAGCTATGACAGATATTCCAGAAAGCCCCCAGCCTGGTAACTCTGATGTGTCGATCCAAGTGGTTTCCCCCACCCCCCAGAGCACCATGGTCCACACCCCTACCACCCAGACGACCCCTGAGGCTGGTGAGTGGCTGACCTCCAGCCTGTGCAGCATGTAGGAAATGGCCTGCGCACCACTACTGAATAATATCCTGGCTGAAGCCAAGCCTGGTGACAAATCCCTGACTGCAGCGTCGCCGTCATTACCAGGACCTCACAAACCGAGCTAGACTGGTGGTACTTTTAACTGAATTCAGTATCTCTGTGTACAAGGTTTTTCTGGTTTTAAAGGCTATTACACTCTGTTAGGTTGATGTCAAACTGACCAATGTGATCAGTCAAACATGCCATTAAAAACGCCTGTAATCAGCTGGGTATGATCAGGCAGGGATTTATTGTCTGAGATCTGTGTGTAATTAGTTGATTGCTTTCACTGCCTTTTTGATGGATCACTTCCTTTCACGAGTCTCACCCAACCAATAAACACCATATAGTACAGTTCACATATTTTACTGTCAGGAGTGAAACCTCTTGTAACAGACTTAATGTTTTCCTCTGCACCTCAGCTCACTGGAAGATAACCAGTCATATTTCCTCGACTTGTCATTTCCTTTTTCTTTAGCAGTACATATCTCTCCACAAAAAAGGTCATAGCTTTTCCATTCAAGTCAGGAACTGAGGCCGAAGTGAAAGGTGACTGACTGTATGGGGCAGCACTTTCTCTCCTGTTTATCAGAAAATGAAATTCTCTGTCAGGGAAACAGAGAAGGAAAAAAGTGTTCACACATTGGTGACAACTACACAAAATAACAATAACAAAAAGAAATGATGTGATAATAAAAGTGATAATAACCCTGTTATATAGCTCATCTTCAGTAATGCAATTTGAACATTATGCCCTATTTTATTAGTGCATACTGTATATATCTTGGAAAAGCTGCTAAATGTCACAGATGAAAAAGCAAAACACATAGTTAGCAATTTTGTTTACCTGTTACCATTAAATGAACATTTCCACCATATGGACTTTTGGTAAGATATGAAAGTTGTGTGATAATTTGTGGCATAAATCACCCTTGCTCAGTCTGGCACCTTCAGCTGGATGCAGAGATGAAACATTTTAAATGTCACGGATCAGCCGTTGAAGGTTTCATGAAATTCGATTTGCAAAAATATCCTGGATAAAAAGACTGCACGTTGCTCAACTGACTCTGCAGTTCTTTGCTCTCCTTCATGCGAACTTAAAAGGCTGTGCAGGTTGTAATTGTCTTTTCCTGACTGTGTGTCAATTAAACTGAGGGAATAAAGTGCACTCCTGGAATATTTCCATCACTCCTTGAACCCAGCGTACCTGAGAGGATACTTCTGGTTTCCTCTCCAGTGACTGCACAACAGTGAGGCGGCGGTCTTGTGATGGATGGCTTTCCCGACCATCCCAGTCACTGATGCACACCGCCTCACAGTGAGGTATGAGGAGGGTCATGTATCACCCTTTGCAGGTATGTGGATGCCTGGGAGACAGCTGCCACTGGGTGAGGTGATAAAATAGACCATTTCATTCTGGGGACATCTGATAGTGCTGCCAGCTCCACAGAGTCTGGCAGCAATGGGCCTGACTGAAACTGGATCACACAGCAGCAGGAAAGAGTGGGCACCAGGCTGTCAGGGCAAAGCCAGATAACAACTGGTTCTGTGCTGCCATTCCCGGCTGAAGGTGAAAGTGTAGAATACAACTGTGTTTACACATAGAGATCCTGAGTGAAACTGAGGCATTTCAGGTCTGTGGGGGCTTTGAGTACACTGATTATAAATGATACTAAACATTGTGCTGAATATTGTTCAAATCCCTAAAACACATAGGATCTTATTGGTCTATATTAAAGGCAGTTCACAACAAGTCTTAAGTATATGAGCTGCTGACTTGATCTGAAAATGGCCCAGTAGAATTACTACATGAATTGCTGTATGATATATTGTACTGTTGCTCTCTTACTCTTAATAAACTCCCAAACTGCATCCTTTGAGGAAAACAGTCAACATTTTGGGAAATACTCTTACTCACTTTGTTACTGAGAGTTAGATGAGAAGATACTCAAATATCTGTACGCTAAAAGAGAGGTTACTGTGAGCAGCTGGTTAGCTTAGCTTAGCATAAATACCAGAAAGCCTGGCTCTGTCTGAAGTTAACAAAATCGGCCTACCAGCACCTTTAAAGCTAGAGCACCAGTAAAACTCCAGTCTATTTTTTCACTTGCCAAGAAGTAGTCCAGCACATAACACCCCAGTTTTTGTGCTAAGCTAAGCTAACCAACAATTCATACTTTATATTTACCAGACGGGAAAGTGATATCAATCTTCTCATCTAACTCTCAGTAAGAAAGTGAATAGCACATTTCCAGAAAGTGAACTACAAATAGATTACATATAGATTAGAGTACACAATGATGTTTGTTTCAAAATATAATGAGGATTTTTGCATTGATTTTTTTTTTTAATTCATGGTGATTTTGACTAAAACCCAAAGTTTATTCTTCAGATGTCATATTATCACAACAGTTGTTTAGAAAAACAAATATAAAGGATTCTTATAAAAAATCTTTATTGTATACGTTCTGGCAAAGTCAGTATTCGACTCTTATTTTGATGCTCATCAGTATAATCCTATTTCACTACTTGGGAAAAAAAAAGACCCCAGCACATCCAATTAAAATTAACTACAAACATGACACTTTTATTGAACTTTTTTCCTGAATCAGTTACAGAAACAAGAGAGTTAACTGTTTTTTTTTCTTTTTCTAATCAGGGGAATCAAGTTCTATACATAGGCATGCTGCGTCACTGCACAGTCTCAGCTGTGAAAACCAATATCACCCCTGTCAGCTGCCCCGCTGGAACAGTCTGAGGGCAAGACAAATCAGGCGAGGACAGGCAAGGACATGTCAAACCAAGGGAGGATAGGTGTTCAAACGGGCTGCCCAGGGATGACAAACTTAACATATAGAAGTTTTGTGCAAATTTCACCACAGTTTATTTGATTTTAAACACAGAGACGATATCAGTCGGAAGATTCTCTTTTTTTCCCCTCGAGTCTTCAAACTAATAGAGGAAGTTATTATTAGGTCCAGTGATGTTGGCATTTTGTTCCTGTATTGGACCATTTTCACCTGACGTTAATCTCTTTGCCTCTCAAGAACCAGCTCTCTTTTGTGTTTAAGAAAGCACAGACATTAAGTGTGTCATCTGATATACACTGAAATTATGATTGCTGTCACATGACCTTTACATAAATAGAGTTAGTATTCAAAAGTACGTCTGAGAAAGGTCTTACATGTAGAAATGGTGATAAGCATGCACAGATAGGTAGTCGACAAGTGCAAAATCTACGTAGTCACATGTTATTCTTTTTTTTTTTTGTACTCCACGTTGAGTGAAAACATCACAAGAATTGAAACCTCCCCCCCTCCAGGGCTTTGTTTCATTACTGCTGACCATCCAAAACCCTCAGGTCAGTTCTTCTTCATGGGCCACAACTCATGGTTCCAGGGCCCAAAGCCTGTTTCTGACCTGGGTCGGCCCAAACAAAGAGCTCTCGCTGGCTTGCTGGTACCAGTCTATTTTAGAGTAGCCAGTGGGTAAGACATAAACATACAGCAGCAGTGAAGGGTTGATCCTTAATCTTTTCTTAGTCAGGGGTTTCTGTAAGACCAGGGGTCACCAGAATGACTATTGGTGGGCTGCTGTAAATTAATTTATTCTGCCCTCCCTGCTCTGTTGTTATAACTGTATGGCAGAATAAGTCACTGTTTACGGCATGAAGTGCCAAAAATTATCCAAAGCCAGTGTCATTTTTCTGAAAAAATAAAAATAAGTATGTATCCCCGTGACTGTTACAGCAAAGAGTGGACCACTGTTTTGACTGAGAATACTGCGCAGGAGGTACAAACAATATAAATCCCTCTAAATGACAAATCATATAATTTCCTTGAACATTAATCAAACAAAAAAATAAAAGCATATCTAGTGTTGGCAAAACATTTCCAAAATTCTAGTTAAAAAAAAAAAGACACCAGCAAGAGAAAAATGAAAGCATGATGTAACAACAAGCAAATGTATGAACACAAAGCAAACCAGTTAAAAAAATATCCCCAGATAAAAACGTTTTGCAGTAGTCAGTTCTCCAGTGAGTCATATGACACTGGTGTCTAAATTCAGCCTACAGTTTTAAAAAAAAGTAAACAAGCAAGCAAAGCTTTACAGCACTACTATGTACACAGCTTCTCGGGTGAAAGAGAGAGCTGGTGTCACGATGAAGGGAAAGGGTGTGAAACGGAGACTCCAGTGAAACAAGAGTCCCTCTTGGCACAGGGACTTGAGCTATAGCCGACCATGGAGAGACAGGAGGAGGAGGAGGAGGAGGAGGGAGAGACGCTTCACCAGATAAAGACGACAACCACACAGAGCAGAGCAGCACAGCCGCCCCCCCCGCCCCCGCCCCCCCAACACACACACATCAAACACAAAAACACACACAGTCAGACCAGGGAGCCATTTTCTCACACAGATCGGAGGCCGACTGAGGGAAGTCACAGAGATTTCACTGTCGCATGGACTCCCGCCGGACCGTCTCTCACTCTCTCGCTCTTCCCACCCCCACCACCCCCTTTCTCTCTTCTCCTCCTCTTACATTTCATCTCCTTCTTTCTACCTTGCACTGTAAATCTGATCTTTCTAAGGCTCTAGGACATCTCCACACAGCAGCCACAGCTCTATATATAGTCTGTCACTCACAGATTGACTACTGTGTCTACATCAGTGTTGCTCCTGCAGTTCTGTGCCTCGCTGGGAAGTTGTGTGTGGGAATATTTAGCACCAGAAAGCAACCTTGACTTTGAATTTTCCCCGACAACTCTCGACACGCATAAAATCACAACACTCACGTACGCACACATAAACACAGACAGAGGAACTAAGAACGGGAGACCATTTCATTTCCTCGCTCTGTTTCCTGCTGATATAAAGTGACAGTTTCTCCTGGCTGGTTCAAACCGCCAGTGGCCACCGGAGATGTGGGGAGAGCAGCACAGCAGTCTGACCTAGATTCATGAACCAGCGCCTCCCCGTTGATGACTGACGCCCTCCTTGTCCAATCAGAATCCACTCTACTCCATCGCATATCTAACAGCAGTTCATTAGCAGCTTGTAATCCCTCTGCTCAGGTGCTCCAGGCTGCTTTTGTTGTGTCTGTGTCACTGGGAACTTCTTTTCCCACCGCAGTTCAGGGTTTCACAGTTTGTTTTCACAAAGTGTCCATGCAGGTGGGAGGATGAGGCAAGGTGAGAGGAGTTATGTGTTATATTCACAGCGAAGTGCAGACCAGAGACAGAGATAGCGAAGGAGGAAAAAGGCTGGGGAGGAGGGAGGGGGTAACAGTCTGGAGAGAGAAGGTTTGTTGGAGTGGTAGAGTTGAGATGGAGGAACACACACACACTCTTTCCTCTCACATACTGTACATACACACCCACAGAGGCTGGATTCTTTTTAAGCGGGCGGTGCTCAAGCTGTACAGTTGCCCGTGTGCTTTGTCTTCACCTTGGCTGTGGATGGATGGAGGACAGAGCCAAATGTGTCCACATGAGCGCCAGCATTGTGAGGAGCAGCAGAAAAGACATCCTGACTGACAGGAGGAGAGATAGAGCAGGAAAAAGCAAAAGATTTCACAGTTTTCGAGGATGATTACAGTGCTGCAGTCTCAGGGGAGCAAATCAAATAAAAAGAAGAATACTGCATGGCGATATCTTTAGATCTGAGTCAGCGTGTGTTTTGATTTGCTACTTGCTGGTCACACTTTGAGTTTTTGAACCCTTCTACAGAGATTTGAGTGCACGCACACTTTAGCTCTGTCCTCCATGCCCTACTTTCTCTCAGTCTCACACACACTCATACAGCATAATAGTTAATTGGCACACAGTCAGTGTTAAAGTCTGTACACGGAGTGGAAGGGCCCTGTTGGCGTCCATGTTGTAAGTCCAATCCAACCAGGCGGTCCCCTCATCCCAGACCCCTCCCTCCTCGCCCTCTCCATCCTCTTCTTCTCTTCATTTTCTACTACACGTCCTCTTTCCAGTCCTCTCTCTCACCACAGCTGCCTCCCCGTGTAGGTTGGAGGGGCAGAGGGCACCTGTAGAAGGAAAAAATAAGTTTGTAAACGATATGGACAGCATCGTATATTCAGACATGCATCTTTACATGCATGCGAAACCGTAGCTGCGAGGCTCCCATGTACACTTTTTACTCATGTTTGTCTACAAATCTCTTGGCAAAGACAAAATACGTCTCTGACTGCAAGGGCATAATTTGCACTGCAATGTACTTTTCAAAATCCTATTTTTTGCCCCCGTCACTATTAAGGTCACAATTTTATTTACTTGCTCTCTGCACAGGATCTTCAGACTTCTCAAACTGCCAAAATCCAGAGGAGAAAAGGAGAGAAAAATGTGATGTTTATTAAGGTCGCTCTCAAGTGTCACTGCGTGAGTGATTAGTGGACATTTTCTTGTCCCGGGTTTCTCCTCTCAGGCTACAAAGAGGCCACTGCTCGACCCCCTGATTGGTGGAAGTTGTACCTGCGGCCAGAGTGACTTCTTTCTTGAAATTAGACCACCGTTAATTTGGAAAACCTGATAACGCATTCCGTTGTAATATATTGTATCATTTGCTCGATTGATTTGACTCAAAATGGCATTCACACATTCACAGTTTGTTTGTTTTTGAAGAATCTCTGACTTTATGAAACCAAACCTTCACCCCATTCTACCCTTGTTTACTTTAACATAAACAGTCTCTCATCATCTGGCGGTGGTCTGTCCCAGATTTTACACTTTGGAGAAGCAGTATGTAATTATAAGGCTCCGCAAAACTGGATATAATACCTGCCCAGACTCTCACCATTTTTGAACCCAAGTTAAAATGTTTTATGCTCTCCATTCCATGTTAAAGCAGTAGTTAATAGTTGGGAGCAGAGCTTACCCTTAGCTTAGTATTTACCGTACAGACAAGAGAGCGGTACCGCTCTTCTCATCTAAAGTGAAGGTTTGATTAAAAGTCTAACCATTCTGTTAACTCAATGTTACAAACACACTGCAGTCCTGCATTGTCTAACAGTTAATTCTCTGCGCTTTCATCTTTTTCATTAGTTTTATAAAAGCTCAATGTCTCATTTAATATCTTATACAAAGCACTTTGTTTTAAATATGCAGTATAAATAAGCTCACCTTTCCTTTCAAATGGAGGCACAAAAACATTGTTCGTGCACACTGATGATATTCTATGCAGAGCAGCTTAAGGAGAACTCTGTATTTCCTTTGTCGGCTACATCAGCTACAATCTCTAGGAATAGTGACTACAAATGATCTTTCAGTCAGCAGAGTGTTGATTCAGCATTTTACCCGCCAGAGATGTGTGGATGGGGGTGGGGTGGGGGGGGGCGCTGTGCTGTCGTGGGGCTTAATTCATAACACAGTGGCTGGAAAGTGGTTCACCTGTGCCAGCCAGAGTGCCCATTCATCCTGCATAATGAAGGGCGTGACAGGCCCGGCAGACAGTCGCATCACTCAGTGGACAGATAGCATCGCGGCTTATTTACACACACAGGAACACATGGACGTTCTCTTGCACTCACCCGTACATAAATCAATATCAGATGAATGACCGTTTGTGACAAACCCATCCATGCATGTGTCCACGAAATACAATACACACAGGCACGTGAACATACACTCACAAACTGATACTGCACGCAAACACTCACACCTCTCCCTCATTCTTGTGCAATGGCGTACGGTCTAGAACGCACAAATGTGCATGCAGTCTTGTTGGCATGGTCGAATGAGAGAGCGGCGTGTAAGCGGCGTGTACCTGTGACTGGGAGGATGTACTCACCGCTCCCCCGTTCAGGATCATGGTCATCTCGGTGGGCTGGTAGACGTTGCTGCGGAAAGGAGCGCTGGGCCTGGCGCCGGTGTTACTGTTGTGTTGCCCGGCGCCACCACCGCTCCTCAAGCCTGGCATGGAATAGACAGAGTGGCAGACAGAGATGACTCACCATATCACTCTTGAAGAAAGAAACACTTGCTGTGTAATCCTGCCCCACATACATTTCCTCCTGTACTTATTTCTGGCCTGGTGTTCTATTACTCACTTTGGCCTATATTCCTCCTGCAGCCTGTCTGCACATATTACACCTGTCTGCTTTAACACATTGGACTGCACTGTACCTGCAGTGTTCTCGTCGTTGTATCCGTAGCCTTGGTTCTCCACAAACTGCCTGTGAGAGAGAGGGATGTCTTCATCGAAGCTGGTCTCCCTCATCCGTGTTGAGTTCTGGGAGGTGTCGAAGTAATCAGGGGCAGTGGGCTGTGGCGGGGGTCTCAGGCAGATGTGGGATTCAGGAATGGCATGGAAGATCAGCAGCAGCCAGCCCTGAGCCACTAAAGCGATGGCCAGTGCCGGGTCATTCCAGTCCGGGGCCCTCCCCAGCCAGTCATTGCCGTACAGATAGAAGCCCACCCAGGCCACCCACAGCAGCAGCGACAGCAGGCAGGTCACCAGCAGCCAGACGGCATTGCAGCGCCACTGACGTGTCTTCCCACATAAGGCCAGGGAGGCGGCAGTCAGCGCGGCTATAAGGAGAGCTAGCACGTAGCTGCAAGCTAGTGAGAAGTCCAGAGGCAGGTACTGACAGGCGGCTCGTCCCTCCCGCAGCACGGTCAGAAGTAGCCACTCTGCAGCAATGATACCCTGCACAGCACTCAAACCCAGCGCCAGGCCTGTGAGGGCACAGCCACCAGGGCTCCGCCGCTCCCGGCCCAGCCTGCGCAGACGGACACCCTGCACCAGCAAGCAGGAGAAGCAGACGGCAAACAGGAGACCCCACAGGGCCCTGCGGAGCAGACATAACGACTCATCCTGCTCGATCAGGTAAGCAAAGCTCAGGCCGAACAAGCCAAGGATGCCAAGGAGCAGCAGGAGGATGGGTCCCACGCCGCTCCGCTTCTCAGCCTCACTGATGTGGCGTAAACGGCACACCAGGACTAGGGCTAGTAAGATGGCAGCCAGCGCACCACCGGCAGCCACAGACTCGACAGCTACACCCCATATGGAGTCCAGGTCGCAGAGGAGGGTGTAGGGACGCATGAGGCCCCAGCCACAGCCTCTTGGGAGAGCCTCAGAGTCCTCGGCATCCTGACTGCTGGCACGGTGAGCAACAGTCAGCAGTAGCAGGAGGAGGACCGGGAGGAACGCCATCTCTGAGAGAGCAACAGAACAGAGGACAGAGAGAGAGATGATGAAGAGAGCGAGGAGCAAAGATGGAACAAATGGAGGGAGTCAAAGAAATGGAGTAAAAGGGGAGAGAGAAAAAGAAAAAGAGTGAGTCATTCTGGTCATAAATGTTTGGAAGGCTACAGAGGTGAGCGCTCAGTCATTCCCACAGCAATCATCCGGCCTGCGAGTGACAATACAGACAATCAGCCACTGCTGTGTTGCAGAGAGGAAACAAAGGACAGTAGTTCATGCAGGGTGAATGACTGAAGCCTTCCCAAACACAAAACACACACACACACACACACACACAAACACACACACACACACACACACAAATCCTGTTTCACCAAGAGCAGCCTATAGTCCTGCCTGTTTTGAAGCTTTTAAAGGCTTCAAGGTTTCACATGGCAGAAAAAATACCCCGAAACCCAGAAAAGCCCAGATCAGCTGCCTTCAGTTCATTCACAAAGCAGTGAGGTCACAGCACCCACAACGCTTCCAAAGAGATTTTCAGGTGTATTATTTGTCCGGTCTCGTCCAGTGAGCCGGCTGCCAGAGCTCTGACAGGAAAGCTGCAACGTCATGCATATTTTAATGAAAAAAAAACAAAAAACAAACAGAGATACAGAGAAAGGAACTAGTGTGTACAAGCAGTTTGACTCACTATCGGGCATCTAAGGGCGTCTAGCAAGGCTTGAGACGATGCATAATACACTGTACACAAATACACAGTGCCTCCAGTGCAACGTACAAACACTCGTGTACTTTTGAGAGAAATGTCCCAGCAAAAAAGCAACAGCATGCGTGCCAAATCGATGCTGTCTCAGTCTACCTTTTTCTTTATTCATGACAACTGTCAGATAGCCAAACACCCACACACACACACACACACACACACACACACACCCACAGATACACAGTCTTTCGTTCCATTGAGGTCTTTGCAGAAATGATCAGTGCCGTCGTTTCACCTGACAAGCTGTGTGTTTTATGGGGGGATGATCTGTATTTAAAGCCACCACAAACACACACGCGCGCGCACACACACACACACACACATACTACAACACATCTTGCCAGGTTACTGTCAACTGTCTCTCTCCTACATCTCTAAGCTTTCAGAAATTCTTTCCAAGCTGGCTCAGACATTAGTGTATTAAACAATGCAACACACACACACACACACACACTTTTCCATCAGGCTTGAAGCCACATGGACTGTTTATTTCAGAGGAATACAGTCTCGCTGTAGTTTTGACATTAAAAAATCTCCCGGTGTCCACAAATAGATTGTACCACAATATTTACATACCACATAAAAGACAGTGGATATCTCCAGCTTCATATTCTCTCTCTCTCTCTCTGCCAGTAAGTCAGTGGTTGTTACATGGTCAGGCCATCAGGGAAGAGTGCAAGGTTTAAATACACATCAGCCAGGGCTAAAGGTCACACACAGTCCTTCCAGCATGAAGCTTATTAAATGGGCCAGACAGCCAGAGGAGACAGACCCTAGATACTTAGATTTATTTTATCATGAGGAAAATAGGGACAGAAGTGGGAGGAGGTCCAGTGGATCTACAAATCTAAATATACTAGACTTCAGCTGCTTTTGATAGTTTGATTTGTCCTTTTGACTTGTAACAATGTATCGTATTACAAAATGAAAACTGTGTGAAAGTGTGACAGGAGCATGGGACTCTAAAGAGGATGTCACCTGAATCTGCAGCTTCACTCGGCTCATTGTTCAGCTGTCCATCAACCACTTTGCTGTTCTGCTTCACCGCTCTCATAGTTGTTTCCTGCTGCAGCAGGCAGCAGTTTTCAGTGAAAAATCTCTAAAACCTACTGTACACTACCTGCTCAGCATCAAATGATTGACAGACACAGTTAGCAACTAGCTAGTGAACGTGTTTCCCTCAGGAGATGGTAGAGACCAAAAACAGAGTTTAAATGAGAGGGAATTTTGGTCTTTATTCAGCACGTGGCCAGATATATGACTCCATACCTGCTGGATGTGTATAGCAGCAGATGCTTGCTAACATACTCACAAGACCAACTTAAAGGGTGAAGATAAAACCTGTTTTCAGTGCCCCCAAGCATGCAAAAAAAAATCTATTATCACAAATTCAAACATTATTTTGGCACAATGTGGCTCCAATCAGGCAATCTTTTTTTTTTCATCATCATTTTGCATATGAAAATGATTGATCTAACATTTGGCTCACATCCAATAAGACAATATGAATTCAAAGACTGGCAACCATCCAGTGGGAATTGTTGGGTCTCTGTAACTAATATTGTAAAGAGTATGGTCTTCACCTGCCCTATTTTTAAAAATGCCTTGAGCTAACTTCTGTTATTTGGCGCTATATAAATAAAAATCGACTCGACTTGACATCCGAATGGCTTCTACGTCAATTTTAAATCAAGGCAAGTGGTTTAATTCATCCCCAAATGTAGACAGATACACTGCCGATCCACTGGTCCATCCATTTATTCACATGCCTTTGATGTGTCTTTCTTCATATCCATTTAAAAAATAAATATTTCAGGCTGCAGTTGTTTACAACTTGTGAAATATCATTATTTATTTCTTTGAGCCCCAAGAGGGTCAAACAGTGAAAGAAAGATGCATGTGTGCATATATATGCATCTTTATTCATTTTTACACACACACACACACACACACAATCTACGTGGTTCGTGCATATTTATTTGTTTGGAGCTCTTTCATGTATCCCCTCAGAGATGATTTACACCCTCCAAAATTCTTCACGCCTCCTCATTACTAAAATTCTTCACACCCTCATTTCCTGCCATTATTTCAGGCTGTTGTTTCCTGTCATCCCCTTCCCTTCTTCTCGCAGCAGCTCACAGCCGCTGGTTATTATTGGTCTAAGTTAACATCAATCAGTGCTTACAGAGGGATGAGTCACCAAAAAACACATGCAAAAAAAAACACAGTGCTGGAGCTTTACGCACACACACGCACGACATCCTACCAAAATGCATGCTTGTTTAAGTGGCACAAAGACAAACACACACACACACACTCACACACACACACACACACACACAGATGAACTGCACAACCTTCCACACTTCCTGGTTCTGCCAGTTCCTCGCAAGGTTAGAGGCAAGCCTTCCTTTGCTGAAATCAGTTTTTATGTGAATGTTTNGACATCCTACCAAAATGCATGCTTGTTTAAGTGGCACAAAAACAAATACACACACACACACACACACACACACACACGCTCCTGAGCTTACTAACATCATATTTTTTTTCTATAGAGCTCCTAATAACCATGGGTACACCCCATCACTAAATGACAGGAATAAAACAAAAGGGAGAGGAGACAAAGAGAGAAAGACTCACTCATCCTCATCAAGCGGAGCAGATTAACTACTCCTCCGCCTTTTTTTTTTTACTTTCCTTTTTGTCTTTCTTTGTCGCCTTCTTTGTCATTTTCTAGTGATAGAGCCTGTAAAACCACATAGTAGAGACAAGTGAACATTCTCAGTTAGAGACAAGGAGAGACTGGAGGGTTGTGTCCTGCACACTAGTGACTTTTTCACTCCCTCACCCAGTCACTCCCTCTTGCACAGATGGTTGCCCTGGCTGCTTTTTTGAGTGTGACTTGGCAGACTGGTAAGCTGAAAGCTGAAGGATGCACACAGAGGGCTGCCAGTGGCCACGTGTGGTCACATGCACACAGTCAGCCAGACATGCGTGTGCAAAATCACAACCGCTCGTGCAAACGTGCGCGACGTACAGTACATAACGCACACCTACAGCACACATGCCACACACTGGAGTCCTCTTCCCTGCATCTCACTAATGAGTCATGTGAAAAGAGAGAGAAAGAGTGCCCCTGGCCTTCCGCTTTGTGCAGCATAGAGGATGCTGCCGCCGTCTTATCCTCCCTACACCCCCCCACCCCCAGATTTCTAGACATGTTTCCCTGTCTGTCACTCCCGCTGTATGCAGCCATTTCTGTCCTCTCCTCCATTTAAAATCCTCTATTCTCTTGGATTTCAATGCCACCTCTCCTCCAGAGCAGCCGGAGCGGTCTCGTCTCTCTGCTACATTTGAAGATGTGCTGTGAAAGATGAGTCCCACACATCTCCTCTCCCCACATTTTCTCCCCCCCCCCCTCGTCTAATCCCAAACACACCCCTTTCCCCTTCCATTTTGGCTTCTCCTTCCTCCTTTCTTGTGCCCCTTCCTCCTCCTCTCTCACCCCCACCCCCTTCCCTTTATTCTTGCTGTGTATCTTATGTAACCGGGGGAGGGATCCAGCTCCTGCCAGTTCTGCTGAATGGCTTCTGTTTCTCCGGCATCATCTTCCTCAGTGCCAAGCAGCCTGCTGGCACTCAAAGGTCCATCTTAGTTTTGTATTCTGCATATAGCCGAGTTACATGCACTCATGCTGCACGTGTCACTCTCACACACGTATGCACAGACTGGCACAATGCCCATGTGCACCGGCTCTATTTGCATGTAAATATAACATTCAGTTTGGTGGCATGTATTATGCATGTGTGTGTGAAGGCACCACATTCTCACACAAAGCTGAACGTGGCAAGTATGCAGCATGCATTCCTTATGGCACTGCTGTTAACACACAACAGGAACACAGGCGTGAGAGTGCAAATGTGCAGCACTGCAGTCATTCAAATGTGCTCCAGGCTGGATAGGCAGGGATCTGTACAATTACAACCTCCTACACTTATCAGACGTAACACACAAGCAGATGCTGTCTAATTACCGTGGTGATAATTGGGAGGATTATTGCATTTTGACGACTCGCTTCAGTTCTCATTTTTTCTCTCCTACTGTTTGATTTGGATTTCTGGGGACGATAATGGAGAAAGTGTGTGTGTGTGTGTGTGTGTGTGTGTGTGTGTGTGTGTGTGTGTGTGTGTGTGTGTGTGTGTGAGAGAGAGAGTCTATATGAGAGTTTATGCTGGCATTTGTGCTGACATCTGCTTTCTGATGACGCCTTTTTGTGACTTATCCACGTCTTCTGTAATACTAACAGACATTTCCTTCTCTGACAGTGCACACATTTACATCTTACATCAGTAGCAGGGCTTACTTACCGCCTTAGATATCAGTCATAAATTAACCCGAGTCTGTCTAGAAGTCCCTTCTCACAGTATGAGATTTACCTTGGATTAAAAGCACGTCTCTGCTTCAAAATAAGCTTGTATGCTCTAATAGCTAAATTGTTTGTTGGAGCTATTGCAGACCGGTCTTTTAAACTTTTTTTTAATGCTTTTATAACATCTGTCTCAAGCTCTTCCTGTGAGAATAATTGGCTTGAAATCGCTTCCAGAGTTAGTCTGGTCTGAATCAGCATTTTAAGAGGAGATGAAATACAGGGCCAATAAAGGTAGCTGTCTTACCTGAGGTATTAGATATGTTACATATACAGTATACAGTATGTCTTTATTCATTTCTTATTTGTGTTTTTCTTTGACCAGCTGACCATGCCTCCTTTAAATGAACAATATCTGACATCAGCCTGGCTTTTTAAGATTCATCTTAAAACCATTTCTCTGGTTGAGAAAAATGCAGTTTTGGTGTGGATGGAGGGCTTCACCTGAGGAAAGAAAAGATTTTTTAAAGTTAACCTGGCATAATGTTGATATACTCTTATCCAGAACAGATAGGAGGTCTTTTTCTCACTCAAGGACACTTTGACAGGACACATGGTTGGTGTAAACCCTGCACTTGTGACTTTCCAGAGATAGCCTTACAGATGGTGCATTCAGCAGTCGGAGACCTCCTACGCAGAAAATCACAGCAGCTTGGCCAATTTACATGAGATTTCCAGGTCTGCATTTTGAGAACGATATTTCTAGCACAACAAACCTGACATCACAGCTACTCACACACGACGTGAACTTTTGATACTTTTCTGTGCATAGATTTACACACAAAAACACAGCTACAGTAAGTTGGACCTTAAGTATGCCATCTTTTTTTTTTACCTGCATCAAGGGAGTTATGTTTTGGTCGTGATTGTTTATTTGTCAAATTACAGAAAAAGTAGTGAACCGATTTGCACTGAACTTGGTGGAGGGATGGAACATGGACCAAGGAAGAAGCCCTTACATTTTTGGGACATCCAGGTTATAAATCTGATGGATTTAAGATATCAGACAGATGTGTTTTGTTTTTTTCTTGAACAAATGCAAAGGAATGCATTTAACTCACTACTGAAACTTTAACTAAAACAACCATGAAGTGCACTTTTTCGCCAGTCTCTGCACATCTCTAACCCTCCAGAGTGATGCCAGCAATCCCTCACAGCTGGTAGTGACAGATAAAAAGATGGGGGGGTGAAGAAGAAGAATGAGGGGGAGAGAGGAACTAAACGTCACTGTATGACGTGTGGATGTGCTGAAATATTGAAAAGGTGGTTTTAGGAAAAAAATAGACTCACAGACACAGAAGGGGGAAGACGGTTGGAGAGGAAATAAAATAAAAATATACTGAATGGCTTGACTAAAGAGGAGTTCCATTCACTGCATCAGCCTCCTGGGTGTCATCATGAAGAAATTGACAGAGGAAGTATTTTCCCCAGCCTCTTCAGACATCCCTGGCCGTCCTAATTAGGCCTCATTACCATGTGACTGGGCTCACAGCAAGACCGTATGCTAATTGACTTGGCAATTAACAGTGCCAATGTTTAATCCCACCCCACACACACCTCCCTGCACTCCCTTTTTCTTTCTACATCAACAACCGACGAGGTGATCGGTCAGATGTGAAGGCATCCCGAGCCCAAAAATGCAACCTGAAACCAGAGACACAAACCTCCAGTGTCATGTGTTCTGCCTCCAGTGATATCAATAAACGAAGTGATGGGATGAAGGGGTGATCACAGGAGCACAGAGAGATCAGATTTGGTTAGAGAGTGTGATAGTGATCAGAGGAGCGAGAGAAACAAGGAACAGCCGGATGTGCGCAGGAAGAATTGGAGCGAGTCTTGTGCCTGGAGCATGTGTGCATGTGTGTGTGTGTGCGTATTTGTGTGTGTGTGTGTGTGTGTGTGTGTGTGTGTGTGCGCGTGTGCGGGGAGTGGGGGGGGGGCATGAACACAAATGCACATATGAAAGGAGAAGCAGGGAAGTTTCCATGTATGTGAAATCTGCACTCCAGCTCATAGACTCAGCTGTGTCATGTGTACATAAAGAGGCCACACACACACACACACACACACACACAATCATCGAAACACGGTACATATGGCATCAGCCCCGAGGAGATACTGTAGCATCCTCTTTTCCCCAAAGGAAGCTAACTAACTCATGAAAGCGCAGCCTGAGAATAAACAGCTCCATTCTGCTGAATATTGATTAATGATGGAAAACAGAACACTCCAAAATAGGCCTGGGAGCTTTCAGAGTACACAAACGCTGCACTGACAGTAGCTCAAGGCACATGTATCATCTATCTATTGACCAATCCATACATTGACATCCATTTCCATACTAACTTCCTTTGTCTAATTGGACCCAAGTGGGCATTTAAGTGCAATTTCTTGCCGAGTTGGACCAACCTGTCGGGGGCCTTGCTTGTGGTGTATAAGGATAATACGGGAGGGACACGTCTCCTACAGGGGACACCCTTGGCTTTAGCTGACCTAAGGAGCAGCTTAATGCCAACACACATGTGGAGAATGCTCTTTTTTCTTTTCTTTTTTCAGCACCCCCCACCCCCTTCTCTTAAACAATACCGGCCACATGGGAGGGTCCCTGGGGAGTTCCAGAAGAGTGTGTTTGTTTGAGGCAGCAGCAGTAAGACCATTGTTGCTGAGGAGTGTGTGTGTGTGTGTGTGTGTGTGTGTGTGTGTGTGTGTGTGTGTGTGTGTGTGTGTGTGAAAGAGAGAGAGATCCAAAAATAGAGAATGACATCTAACCTCTAAACTAAAGAAAGAAAGAGTGATTGACACTCCTAAAATATCCCAATGTATTGTGGGATGAAAATGGAGGCGCAGTCACGAAAAGGGACCAACCTTTTCATCCTCGTGAGAAAAATGTGCCACAGCCAATCAGTCGTTTCACACAGGTCAAAGTCCTCCATAGACTTGTCTATAGTTTAAGCTTAACACGGTTTTGTCAAATGCTGCTTGAGGTCAAGGCCATGTGTGCCAAACGCTGAGCGTAAATGTCGTAAATGTATATTAATGCAACATGTATACAACAGTGCGTGCACCCCCCCCCCTTCACACTTCACACACCTATGCATTTGGTGCATCGACATCGCATTTCTCCCAGAGCTGTCAGTGATGCAACTTCCACCTCGGTGGTGATAAGCCCCCGAAACAGCCACACATCACAACACAAACCGAGAGATGCATTCACATTCACACACACGTCCACAAGGATACCACACTCCCCAGCCCCCCATTCCTATTAATCAATATCCTGTGGGCTACACGATGAGCAGCACGTACCTTTATCGATGTAAACAAATCCGATCGAGAACGAAGGCAGGTGCACAGTTGTCAGGTATAATGGGAGAAAGAATTTTTTTAAAATGTCACATTTCGGAATGAGCTCCGCTCGCCGTGTTTGCGTATTCTCTCTCCATCCACATGGACTTGTACGCGATCAGAGCAGATGATTCCTCCTGCTCCAGGTTTCAAACCAGAGGAACCCGGTTCTTCAGCCCGTGTCCGCTGTCCTCAAAGGCGGAATCGGCATGAATTCCCAGTCCTGATCAGTCCAAACAGGAGAGACGAAAAGCACCGGGGTGTCAGGATTAAAACGTGGAGGAGATTCTTTATCGTTTTCCCCTAAATCCTTTGTTCAGCGGTGCGCATCTTTTACTTTGACTGCACCACTGAGGGAGCAGTCATCAAAACAAATAAAACACACAGTTAGCTGGAAATCCTGTGATGTGCACAAACGGTGCCTCCAAACCTGCCGGATCCCCTTCGCCTGCTACTGGGCTGATTATGCCGCTGAACGCCCGCGTTGACGCTCACTGCTCCCCGCTGCACATATCCCGACTGAATGCATCACCAAAACTGCGCTCCGCATAACGTGCGTAATGGTAATCCCTCTCCGCACACACACACACACACACACACACACACAAGCTCACACACACGCACACACATAGCCTACACACATTACACACAGAGAAAGTGACAGCTCTCCAGAGCCGCCACAGTCCCCACTGACTCCTCTCTGTCCTCCCTCCCTTTACCGTAACTGTTTTACTCTCCGATAAATTAATTGGTGCCTGACAGGGAGGGGGGGACACTTTATTAAATCCTTTTAGACGTAGGCTACAGCGTCTCTCTCTCACACACACGCGCAAACACACACACCTATTGTCTTGATGTCTCTGTCATGGACTGTTCACACAATCTGGACTTGTAAAATGCTGCTCCTGCTTAATTCCAGCTGTTTTTTACTCGTTCAGTGCGCTAAGTCATAGAAAAATTGCCAATATCAAGTCAAAGTAGACTATTGAGACCCAATTTCCGGTTGCATCTTTCAGAATAAAGTTCTTAGGATTTTGTTAACGCCAGTCTACAGCGAAAACACGCCACCTCATTGTGAAAAAGTGAATACAGATCTGCTGCCCATAATGGCAAGTTGAATAAATGCAATGGTAAATGGCCTGCATTTATGTAGCAATTTTAACACTTTACAATTTCACACACACACACACACACACACACACACACACACACACACACACACACACACACACACACACACACACACACACACAGGGAGCTACCATGCCAAACCACTGGATGTGCTGTCATACTAGTGCATTTTGAGTATATTCAGCAAAGTCCCACTGTCATATTATTCTTTCTTACTTTGTAGGGTAATTGTTTGTTTGGATAGCCTAACCCTAACCCTAATCCATTTCCTGCCTCTCTTCTTCCAAGTCTTGACTCTCTTATTTTGAAAGAAGTGTAGCCTCTTTTCCGGAGTTGCGTTGCTAATCTCCAGGTACTTGACACAGCTACAAACTGCCATGATGCTTATTATTTCTCTCCCTAGTCACATGCTTGTCGCCTCAGCTGCTCCAGTCCATCTACCAGGGAGGCTTTCAATGGAAGAGACCTCCCCCAAGCCCCCCACTCCACCCCAACCCCACCCCACCCCCAGGACTTCCATCCTGCCTTCACCCTGGTGCATGATGTGAGCTGGTGGAAGTGATTAGTGGCAATGTTGTCACAGTTTCTCACAGGCTTCCAAAACTGTTTTCCACTGCAGTCTCAGACAAGCAGGAGCACAGCATGGCAGCCATGACACCTCTGACCAGGTGATCAAAACAGCTGCCAGGGTGCTGTTGGTCTAAAATATTATCAGACACTAGAGCTGCAAACCTCTCTCTCCATCCACTCACAGTTAGGTCTTATTTTATGGGAATGCAAATGATCCAGTGATTTGGATGTGTTTGTTTGTGCATTAATGATATTGAGCCACATCCTGCTGCAACATGAAGGAGACACTGGAAACCAGCAACCACACTCTCACACCCACATTTTGCCTGGGATTGCACTGCGTCTTTAGTTTCCCCTTTTCACACACTCAGAGACGCATAAATACATGCAAAGTGAGATGACATGCCGGCTCTGGGCAGTAAGGAGGCGTATCATATGGAGTGGCAGCTGAGGTTGTGAGACTAATCTGACAGGTGCAGGCTGGGAGAGTGACAGCATGGGAAGAGGGGGAGGAGGAGGAGGAGGAGGAGGGGGAGGAGGAGGAGGGGTCATTGCTTCAAAACAGGACAACTGAGGAGATTAATGGTTCTCTCACTTTATCAGCAGATTGATGAGTAGAATCATGCTATAGCTCTCGTCTGTATTGTTGATATGTAGCTGTGGCCAGACGCTAGTTACCTTAGCATTAAGACTGGAAACAGCTCCAGCCTGGCTCTGTCCAAAGGTAATAAAATCCACCAACCAGCATCTCTGACGCTCAGTAATTAACATTTTATATCTCTCATTTATTTAATCCGTACAAACACGAAAATGTGAATATCACACATTGTTGGGGGTTATGTGCTGCACTATTTCTTTGGCCTGGTGTAGTAGCCTTACTTCCTGGGTTTTACACCGAGCCAATAAACAGTCCAGCAGATAATCCACACATTAAACCACAGCATGTCATTTATACAGCTCAGTTTGAATATTAAACAAACAACATATAGCATGTTAATAAATTGGCTTTAGAGTGATGTTAAGTAGGTTTTGTTATTGTTGTTTCTCCCTGTTTCCACTCTTTATGCCAAGGTAAGCTAACTGGTCGCTGGCTTTAGCTACATATTTATGGTATGGATGTGAGAATTGTGTCTCTCCTTCTCATCTAACTCAGCAAGAAAGCCAGTTAGTGTATTTCCCAAAATGTCAAACAATTCCTTTAATGTCCATATACACATATATTATACATTATACTTTACTGCCATTATCAGCTTGAGGCTCAGCTCAAAGCAATCAGTGGAGGACTCCTGCTTCAGTATTTATAGAGGGTGACAACGTAACGCTGGATCAGTATTATTATGTGTGGAGCTCAGTCACTGACTAATATAGTTTTACAGACAGGCAGTACACTAACTTTGGCTCTGTCTGATGAGTTATTGTCCATTAATGAGGAGAGCACATGCTCTTCATGTGTCATGTTACTACAGAGCGCCACAGACCGTCTGTCATGTTTCCGTTTGGTTTGTGAACTATACTGTATATGTTGAGTATGAAGACTTTCTTTAAATCTCTGTCTCTTTCCATCAGTGTTTTTCTCTCCATAATTTTGTAACCTCCATGTGTTTTTTTTCTGCTATGTTCTTTCTTTCCTCTCTCTCTCATCGTTCCCTCATTACATGCCTACTTGCTGCCCAGAGGTTGCCTCATCTTGTTAAGTCCCTGCTTGGCTCCACACAATGAACCAAACAGTGACAGCAGGGTGGCTGACATACAGGCCACATGCTGCATCTGTTTCCAGAGACAAGCATCAGGATGAGAGCCTGTGACCTCACAGGATGTATTAACTATGACAGGATGCAGGTGTCCAAAATTAGCAGGAAGAGAGTCTAATTTTAAAGAGCATTTTGTTTCCAGATACACATCCCATTTCAGACAGGCTCCAACTGATCTTACAGAACACAGGATGTAAAGTGTGATGGCTGTCTTGTTTGGTGAGGGGTCACAAAAGTCACATGAACAATTATTTTGTACATTAATATCACAAATACTGACATGCATCACATTTGATTCAAATATTGATTTGTAGTCATCTCTCAGTCATGACAGCACAGTCCACATTATGAGTCCATGTAAACATAAACCCCCACTTAAAGGGGCACACCACCAATTTAAACATCAAGATGAATTTATACAAACATCAAGATGAGACGGAAAGGAAAGCAAACTTTTCTTTTGTGTTATGTATTAATCTGACCGCTGGACCATTTCTGCATGTTCATTTGCCCCAAACACCCAATGTTTCAACTGCACAGATATTAGCTGTAAGCTAACTACCTCAGCTCAGTTCTTTCTGTCATTGCCTCAGGTCTTCCTATAGTTTTCCTCTCATCTCAGTTTATTTATGAAGCAGATTCCTAAAGTTCCAGAATGAGCACAATTTTTTTTTCCTCAAGTTGACACACCTTTGCCTCAATTTTGCTAATTTGTGCCGAATCACAGCACTGACCATGTGTGGTCAGTCTGAACACACCTTGAGAAAATAACTCAAGGGACATCACTTGAGTGAATGCATCTAAAGCTTGGAGACTGCAAATTTTGAACAGAAAGCCTGCTTTAGAAAAATAATGTGGAATTAGAAAGATACAGTAGTTTACTCATAAAGAGGGATTTTAACAAAAATATTCTGCCAAGTTGAATTATGGGAAGTGTGGGATCCAGTTTAGTCAATACTTGGGACTAAAACTTAAGATATCTCAGCATCTGCTGCTTTGATGTCATTTCATTTCCTTCATTTGTTTCTTGTGAATTCCCCAACATCATGGAGGTGCCACACTAAAGTCTGAGTATCCCAGACATCCGTGTTTTTTTATACTTTTAATTTAAACATAGTTTATTTAACAGGCATGATATACATTAATAAACATGGTGCTGACTAGGCCACTGAGGTAATGAAGATAGATAATCCTGACCTCATCTGTTCACCACGGTGACTTAAACCCTCCGGCTGCTCAGAGTCCTGAAAACCTGCAGAGGTCATGACCTTTCAAAGTAGCATAGCCCTGGAGAAGTAGGGTTGATATTAAAGGTCATCTGAATGTGACCTTGTCAGGTCAATTTAAAACAACCTATACGTAGATTTGCATGCACTGTATCTGGAGGACAGAACAAATACACGGAAGCACAAACACACACATACAAAGCACAGAGGGCTTATCTGGCCTTTTCAAACACCACCACATGGACCATAGCGCACTTGTTTTCATTCAGTGAGCCTTGGAGACCTTTCTGTCAGCTCCTTGGGTTTCTCAATGGCTCTAAATGGGATTTAACCCTTGGAAGGTCGAGGTGAGGTCAGCGGCAGCTTCAGGATTTACCTTCTTCCTCTATCAACCAGTCACCACATGCTGAAAGCAACATATTGTTTTTAAAGCCTATCTCAAGGCTTTAAGGCCTGGTTTTGGTCAGAGGTGAAGAAGGGATACTGTTTTAACACAGATAAGATGAAGGTGGAAGTAAGACTCTGATTGACCAGCACTGATGTTTTTTAGTGCCAGTTGTTACTATTTGTGGAGTGACAACTATGGGATGGATTAGCACAAAATTTTCATCTAGTGCCTCATGAGATTAACATTTGTGGTTTTGGGTGAAATGGCTCCACAACAAGTGGATAAATTATGATTACTTATATATGTGATCAATGATCAGATATCTCGAAAAATAATTTCATTCCCATCATCCTCAGCTGTACTGTGTCTTAACGTATTCACGCAATGTCGAAAAAATGGGAACAGGGAAACCTCTAATTATTATATATTATTATAAGGATGGTTACGCTCACTCTAGCCTTGGAGTCAAACCAGATAAATATCCTAAATCAGCTACTTTTGTTATA